ATATATATATATATATATATATATATATATATATATATATATATATATATATATATATATATATATATATATATATATATATATATATATATATATATATATATATATATATATATATATATATATATATATATATATATATATATATATATATATATATATATATATATATATATATATATATATATATATATATATATATATATATATATATATATATATATATATATATATATATATATATATATATATATATATATATATATATATATATATATATATATATATATATATATATATATATATATATATATATATATATATATATATATATATATATATATATATATATATATATATATATATATATATATATATATATATATATATATATATATATATATATATATATATATATATATATATATATATATATATATATATATATATATATATATATATATATATATATATATATATATATATATATATATATATATATATATATATATATATATATATATATATATATATATATATATATATATATATATATATATATATATATATATATATATATATATATATATATATATATATATATATATATATATATATATATATATATATATATATATATATATATATATATATATATATATATATATATATATATATATATATATATATATATATATATATATATATATATATATATATATATATATATATATATATATATATATATATATATATATATATATATATATATATATATATATATATATATATATATATATATATATATATATATATATATATATATATATATATATATATATATATATATATATATATATATATATATATATATATATATATATATATATATATATATATATATATATATATATATATATATATATATATATATATATATATATATATATATATATATATATATATATATATATATATATATATATATATATATATATATATATATATATATATATATATATATATATATATATATATATATATATATATATATATATATATATATATATATATATATATATATATATATATATATATATATATATATATATATATATATATATATATANATATATATATATATATATATTTGCAATTGATTCACTTTCTTTTGTAGTAAAAAAAATCGAAATTACTTTTACAGCAATAAATCTATATAGTAAAATTCCATTCAACTAATCGCGTAACTTTTTCGTAGTGTATAAAATTTCTTAATGTATAAAAACTGAACTGTTCTTTTCGTAATTTTAGTTTAGTAATTATTTTTCTAATTTGCCAATTGAATTTCATTTGTAGCGCATAATATTTAGCCTTAAATACCGCTACGTTTTAGGCTAAGTTACATTAGCAGTTGATTTATAATTTAAGATTCAACTTTGATTAACAAAAAAAGCCGCATTCAGTTACAAGTTGATTTTCTAATAAATCTTTAAGTATTCAGAAAAGAAGGAAATGCGTAATGTGTTTTTCTATAATAGAGTGTGTCAAAAGGTGTCTTATTATAGTGCAGCCTTTTCAGGAACACAGCTGGAATTCACGGTTTCGCTTTGTAAAAGTGAACCCCTATATATTCCCTGCTTCTGTTCTCAGAAAAGTTGAATGAGCTCTTCCTTCCATCCGTCTCTCTCTCTCTCTCTCTCTCCTGTTATGTTGTTTAGAGCAACTCAGTTTTAGAATTATATGTTTCTTACCGAAACAGAGATAATATGACAGATAAAAATATTAAATAACATAAATGTAAATAAAAAAAAAATAGAAGGACGACTGGGAGAATAAAAAAAAAATCGAGATTTTAGCAATTTTCCTCGAATAAGAAAGATGGAAGCGAGTAAAAGAAATCTTTCAGTGTTAAATTTCTTCAATAAACTTTAACGCTTTTTTGAAAATTTTTAAAATACGAAATAAGTTTATTAAGAATAAAAATAAGTAGGAAGTAAGAATAAGTTTATTAAGAATAAGTAAGAATAATAAGAATAAGTACGCTTTTTTGAGAATTTTTAAAATACGAAATAAATTTATTAAATCTAATATTCAATTTCCTATATTATGATGCCATCATGAGAAAAATAAGTGCCATTAGGGAAAAATTTATTTGCATCGGAGGGTCTGACCACAAGGGGGACACAGACAACGCTATATAAAGCATAAAAGTCATGTTCATTTTTTTTTTTTAATTATTCACATTTTTTGATATTTTTATAAGGAAAGCTTCTAATATTTTCCCTGAAACATAAAATGTTTTTAACATCTGGTGGAAATTTGACAATTGAAACATGTATGAGGAGTAACTTGTTTTTATATATATGATCATAGAAAGTAAAAATAGTTTATAAAGAATTAGACTTTAAAATTAAAAAAAAATAATTATAACTAATTTTAAAAGTAAAATAATTTAAAAGTCGAAGTCGTAAGGAACCACTTTTTAACAAGATTAGCGATGTTACTATTAAAAATAAAATATTATGCTTATAAATTTGAATTTCATTATATTATGTTCACAACTTTAAATTTTATTATATTGATTCATATAGACTTTATTATATTATATTTATTATATGAAAAATTAAATGACCTCGCTTATGGCTGTTTATTTACATTTATTTTTATTTCTGAAATAAATATTAAAAATTTTAAAAACCCTCATGGTATTTCAACGAATTATAGGATGCTATTTTTTTTTTTACAAAAAAATATTTTCAAAGTAAAAAATATTTTGAAATAGTTTTACAAAGCCGAAACATTTAAAAGCAAACACATTTGAGTATACCATAAAAGAAAGAAAGAAAAGCTGCAATAATTCAAACTATGTCTAATGTAATTTTATTTTGCTTCAATATAATTCAAATGATAAAATAAAAACAACGAGTAACTTGATGTAATGTGCCCTTGTGTAACATAATAAACACAACAAATTATTTCGAAACTCAATAAAAGATTAATAATTTGTAACACCCTTTAATGTCAAAGAGATTCTAAAAATATTATTTCACACATTGGTTAAAAAAAAAAAAACAGCTGTTCAGATTGCAGTTGAAAATAAGTACAAAAAGTACATTGATTTAATTTGAGTTTTAAGTAGCACTTTTAAATGACTAAATCATATTTGATCTCACTTGCAAAAATTAATTATACTTACTAATATAATCTTGATTTGATTAATTAGTAAAAAAAATTAATTGCAAGACTAAAAAAACAGAAAATTATTGTACCTAAGCAAAATATTTTTAAGTTAACATTTTAAGTAACTTTTACTTATGAAACCATTCATTTATAATATTATAAAATGAAATATTAAAAAATAAAATATTAAAAATGACATAAAAGGTGCTTAATTAAAGTGCAGATCACACAAATAAATTTGATACAATCATTATTAGATAGTTATTATTCTATAAAAATCAATTCCGTACTCTACTGACAAAAGAAAAATTTCGATCACAACATGAAGCAGTCATAAAATTTCAAAGAACAAATAAAACTGCACTAAGTATTTAATAAATTTCGCAAGGAATGAACTATAAAAAGGATTAAAATTATCCAAAAATGTCTACAAAGGAGAAAAATAAATGTAAATTTTTTCTGTACAAACATGGTCAAAGTAAAGAGATACGTGTAGTACACACATTAATATTTAAAAATTGTACTAACCGTTATAAATTGTGAGATTTTTTCCATATATTTCAATCAAAAATAATTTACAGTAATTAAATATATTTAAATATACTACTGAAAAATAAAATAATAAGAATGACCTAAATAATACATTTTTAAAGAGTGTATCACAAAAATAAATTCAGAGCAATTATTATATGATATCATATTACCAAAAAAAATTTCATACTCTATTTGAGGCAAGAAGACTTTCCATCACAACGGAATTTTTATATACATAAAGCAATCATAAAATACACAAGAAGACGTCAATTAAATAAATGCACTCTAAGTATAGATTAAATTTCACATGGAATGAGTTTTAAAAACATTAAAATTATCAAGGTAAAGAGTTTTTGAGGGGACTTTCTTCCTAAAATTAAATAATCATACGTCAAATAGCTTATGAAAATAAAACATTAACAATGACAAGAAAAAATAATAATTTTAAAGGTATATTATTAAAATTTCATATTTGGAACAATCATTATCAGATAAAAAAAATCATTATCGGATATGAATAATTTATAAAAAAATATTCATATCCGTCAACATTTTATGTCAAATTAAAACAAGGAGTAAACCTGATTATTAATGCTGTGAAATAATTTTTGAAAATAAATAAAATTAATCGGTTGGTACAGAATGAAAAGAAATGTAATATACACATGACATATAATGCATATATAAAAAAAATGTGTACTAAACACTAAAGGAAAAAACCGAAATGCAACACTAGGCCGTTTTGAAGCTCGTGGATGAATCATCTAACATAGTAATGTTTAAAAAAATTTACGAAAAAGAAAAGTTCATTGAAATTTAGATTTGGAGATAAATTTATTTATTTATTTTAAAAATGGTTTAATTAAATTTTTGATGAGAAAGAAAGTGGTTATAAAGATTTTTATTAGCGCACTGTTAATTGAAAAATATACTTAATTTTCGTCAAGGGACAACGGTAATATTTTAAACTATAGAAAGGGATTTTAAGTAAAAGAAAAGTATCAAATAATTTTTCCCGGTAGCGCTTAAGATTTTAATTCGTCATGATATGGACCGAAACAATCCATGCAAAGGCATACATTGCACGCCTGACACATCCACGAGCTTCTAACGGCATTGTTACCAAATGTTTTAATTTTCAGTTTCGAACATCTGCGGCATCTTCTAGGAGTTGATGTTTTGCATCTTTTATGAAGATGATTTGGGTTTAAATTGGCAGATGGGCTCGGGCTATGGGAGATCGAATTCCTTTGGATTCCTTTGGACAGTTCCTCAATAAGACTTACCTTGAAGTCCAACAATCTTTTAGGTTTTTTGTTATTTGGTGGCTGTGAAAGTGAATAAATTATAAAAGAATTGTGGACAGCGGTGTCCAACAAAAACCAAAACACATAAAGCCACCACTTTCTTGATTTTCGAGCTGATTCATAGTACTTTCGTTTTTGATCTGCCAGATCTACACCACCCATAAACTTGTTATAGTCCGAAAATACTGTTGGGCAATCTAGTGTCTTGACGGCTCCACCAATTCTTCGATTTACGGTTGTGCCAGTAGCGGATTTAGTTGTAGATAACATAAAAATTTCCTTTTTATCTTTCCACACCGTGCACAAAAGATTGGGAAATTCAGAGCACTGGAAAACTTTGGACTGTCCAGCATCATCTAGCTTACAGCTTTTTAACTCTTTGGGTAAAAATTTTCTGCAAGTGTTCAATGTTCCACAAGAACCAATATTTCTTTTCATAAGGTCCATCATCAGAGGAACACACGTGAAGTATCTNTAATATTATCTCTAATATTAGAAGATAAGATTCAATAGTATTGCGTTTTCTAGCACGGCAGTATTATATTGCACCTTTCTAATATTAGATCATATCTTTTTGCTACCTGGGGATTGTCGCAGACCTCGTTTTAAGGTTAGAAGGTTTACACGTAAACCGTGTAAAAAACCCTTTTTAGGTTTGCATGAAAAGATTTTTGTTGTGTTGAAAAAACCTTATATTGCTATCTGGGAAGCATCACGGAAACCCGTTACATATTATCGGGGCTTTGTATGGGTCGTTGAAAGGTAATAAAAAGGCATAGATTTTATTGCGAATAAGTATATATTATGAAATATAATTATAAAACTAAGTAGATAATGATGGTGCTTAGTGGAGATAATCATGCAGAAATATAGATATTACGAAGAAACATTCTTCCCCAGTTAAGCGGAGGTACATGGAAAAAAAAATCAATGAAAAAAAATAAATAATTACAACATTCTGACTTCATACTTGTATTAATTTTTATCGAAAAACAAAATGGGAATATGCCGTTTTCCTGCTTACAACACCCCTATTTTTGATGAAAAATCAAAAGATACTTAACATGGAATCAGCCTACGCCCCAAAGATGGCAAATTGGAGAGTTTTGTGATAAATATTCTGTCGTCAACTTGTCTTAACGGTACAGAAATAGGTAGCTAAAAGCGTTTGTAATGATTAAAGTGAAACTAAAGCAGAACCAACTTAAAAATAGTACTGTATGAAAACTATTTGTCAGGTACATTGGCTTTAAACCAATCTTTGAATTTATTTATATGAAAATTAAATAAGTTTAATCTTACTTTAATATTTAGTTTAGTTGTTTTTTTTGTTTCAATAGTTACAATATAATTAGCTTCTTTAATTTCCCCCCTTCTTTTTCTGGAATTTGCAACTGCTAGTTTTTTAAACTATCTTTCTGGATTTTGATTTAATTTATATTTCTACTCGCTCTACTTAATGATTGAAAACTATAACAATTAATTGATAACATATATTTGAAAATAGCTAAGTAATAAATTTTATTGAACTAAATTTGTTTTCCTTATAAGTTCTTTGTTTTATTCCTATAATACGAAACATTTTTTTTTTCTTTCGTGTAATTGAAGTAACCTTAATTTTGTTGATGGTAAATAATTTTTAGTACGCATAATTGCGTGATAAAGGCAAGCGTAGTTTAAAATATCATGTTAGAAATCATAATACAACTAGTAGGTGACCTATTAAATTTTGGCGTCCTATTATTTTTGATGTCTTGTGAAAAAACCATACTAAGTGAAAATTATTGGCTGTTTTTTATTTATATAGTGGAAATAGGATTTATTTTCCCTTTTGGAACTTTTTATTTACTTTTGTTTTCACAATGATCACTTACAGATACTATAATAAATAACTAATATGAAACATTTATTGCTTTTCATTGTCAACCTTAATCTAGGTTTTATTAAGAAATAATTGTTTTTCATAAATTTGGTTGTAAAGTTTCCATAATTATGAAAATAGGTTGATTATCTCAAAGCTTGTCAGTCAAAAAATTGTTCTTGAAGAAATTTAAAGTTGAAAAGCTTGGCATTCTATTTTTAAATTATTTAGTGTAAAAAGCTTTTTTTAACTATATTATATATATTCAGAAAAAATTTTCATATTATTAATTACTCTAAAATAATAACCATGTCTTGACGATAACAAGGAAACAAGGTGCACACACGAAAATACAAATATTTATTGTAGTATCGGCAAACTCAGAAGGTAAAACTCATTGCTACCTGTGGGTAAGCCACATATATGTTTTTAAAATTTATTTAAATAAAGAGAATGGGGCAACTTTACTTGGTCCCTCAGAAATTTTAGGTGGCCATTTCAATTCATTAGTAAATAACTACTCACTATGTGGCAAGTCAATCAAAAAGTGTTAAATAAACAACTGCTTATTTTCTTCTATTGCTTATTTTAAAAACTGTTTAATGTTAAAGTACGTCAATGTAAAAAGATACTCTGGTAATTCAGAATTCATCAATTGTTGGTTGAAAAAATCATGTACAAGGAGAATTCTTTAACAATTCACATGTTTGAAAATTGTAATATATGCATTAAATATATTTTGCCCCCGCCCCCTCAAATATTTTTACATATCATTCTTTAAAAGTCAGTATGCTTAACTAAATTTTGTTATATATTTATTATTTTTATTGCTCAATTAAATTTTTACAGACTTGGATTATTTCTAATGGGAATTTTTAAAAAAATATATAATTTAATTAAAGTGAAAATAAGTTTGCAAAATATGGCTTTTAAATGGCATCTTTTTGGACTATTGATATTGGTTGCCGACTCATTCGGTTTGAGGAAATAGTGGCTGCTAAGACATTATAGTCTGCCAGGTTGCTAACTTAAAATTTATATTTGCAGGTCTACTTTTTAGTTGGAGTGAACATTTAGGCTTATTCTAATACGAAAATATATCAAATTCAATGCTTTTAGTTTTATTTAATACACAAACTTATATGAAACAAACAGAAAAAGTTCGCATTTTTTTAAACGTCCTTAATAAAAATTGTACCAACTTTCCAGCTTTGCTCTTCTTTCACCATAAATACCATTTTTAATAGACCATATTATTGTTTATTTACTAATCATTTACAAATTAATATAAATAATGATACATAAAATAATTTCTAAATGGCTATCTGAAAGTAATACAATTTAAATGAAATTGGGCAGTTGCTTTAGTAACACATTGGTAGTACTATCTGGGCCCTTAATTCAAGTTTTGTAGATACCAGAAAACTAAGCAAAGTAAACAGAGAAGTATTACCTATTCAAAAAAAGAAAAAATTTTAGAAATTTATGCCGATTTATAAATTAGTAAGTACTGATTTATAAATCAGTAAGTACTGATAACTATTACTCTTTCAATGTGCTTTTCAGGATTTTTACCTCTGTAATTGCTACCTAATTTTCAGTGAACTTTTTACAAAGACATTTTGTTGCAAGAGAAACCTTTCATAGCAAATTCTATTTCACTTTCATTCGTAATTTAAAATTATACAATAAAGTTAGTTTAAATAAACCGAGTAGTTTATGAAAAATGCTAATTTTTTTGCAGAATATCAAAATGCAAACAAATTACGGTAGGATTAGTTCCTGTTGCATATTTCGTGCAGTTTGTTTGATTTGTGATTTTTTGAGGAAAATTTTTTTTAGCATTTAAAGCTTCATGTTCCGTTGGTTTTTCTGACCTAATTTTCTTCTGCTCGTAAGATTTTAAGTAACTAATGTGAGTGAAACAGAGTTTAAATGAAGAGAAGGCTGTAAAGATTGCTGATTTTTTTTCTTCAAAATATCAGAATGCAAATAAATTATAGTAGAATTATTTCCCCTTGCATATTCTTGTATTAATTTATTTGCATTCTTCATATTTTAAAAAGTTTTTTTTTTCTAATTTGAAGCTTTACGGTTAACTCTTGGTTTATCTGAAATCAATTTTTTTATACTTAAAATTTTAAATTACTATTGTAAATGAAGTTGAATTTTACTTGAAAGACTTCTCTTTTAGTGTAGTCTTCTCTCGAAAAATAGATATATTATTATTTTTTGAAAACTTATTTTAGATTAATTCATAACGTAATTAAAATAGTAATTGTTTGATTTTGGAATTGACGCTTTATTCATTTTGATTTTCATGCTTTTTGTTTTGTAGGAAGGTTTTAGATTTCTATCTTATCAGCATGGAAGGAATATTGATTTACTTTTGAAAATGATGTAATTCTTCGATGCTTAGTGTTTATTCAAGACACATTTAAATGAGCTGGTAAGCATTGACCTGTACTAATTTTACATGTGCAAAGTAGTAAATTTGGTACATATTTTCATTTCTATTTATGATGTAAGCCGAGTGGCAGAATCGCAGAGACACGGCGACATTGTCACCGAACAATACAGAGTTCTTGCTGAAAGATTTTTCTTTTGAAAGGTAGAAAAAAAAAGTTAGCTTTTTTTTCTGCAGCAATTTACATGTAATATTTGAACTATTCGTTTAAATAATCACTTATTGCTGAGCTCAGTTTACGGAGATATTATTGTAAATCTTTGAAATGTTACGATTGCATTTTGGGCAATTATTAATATTGATTTTCACATGGATTTTAAATATCCCAATATATTTCTAACAATAAGGAAAATCCGAATTGTGCATTTGAGTATTTACTTTTTAAGGCAACAATTTTAGTGAATTTTTGACAGTTATTGCAATTGATTTCTCCATAGTTTTTAAATCCGATATTTTTTATGCAATATTATTAATTTCAACAATGTAATTTAGAAGTGAAACAAGCATTTGAAGAGCCCGATTTGCTTGATTTCGTTGCTGATCTTTTTTTTCCGACAATTACTTCAACAGATTTCATGATTTTTAGTTAGTTTTTTTATTGTGATGATTATTTACAAAATGCGAATAATAAATAATTTGTGCATCCCCAACCACCAACAAAATGCAAGAATACCACCCATAATATTTAGAATAAAAAATTATTACTTGTTTTATTAAAAAAAAAAACTTATAGTTTTTTCTGTAACACAGCATTTTTGTTATTTTAAATTGGTAACATATACAGTGGAGCATCGTTTATACGACGCCGAAGGGACCACCGAAAAACGTCGTATAAACGNTATATGTTAGTTATTATTAAAAGTATCTTGCAGAAAGATGTTAGTGCTAGAGAGTTTTGTCGTATATAGCTCGAAAAAATTTCGCTACAGGGGAAGTAAGCTTATAACATTTAATTACTTGTATTTAATTGTATAATATTTGTATTTTGCATTATAGGAATCCTTTAAGAAAATTACAGAGGCATGGATCCAAATCTTATCTCATGCAAAGGGTAAAGTTTTTGAATTAATTTTTACTTTCTATTTATATTCTGAAATTGATTATTATGACAATGTAAAATTATTTCAGATAACCCCTTTTCATCTAATGAGCTTCATTTTTGTCTACATTAAAATATTTTTGGGGCACATCTTCAAATAGACATGGAGAATATGATCTTGTTTCATATGAAAAACAAATAATTTGAATTGTTTACAATAATTTTAATAGTAAATAGACCTGGAAAATATGATCTAATTTCGTATTAAAAACAAATAATTTAAACAACTTTCGTTATTTTCCTTAGAATTTGTGTCTAAAGTTGTATACAACTTTACATTTTTATTCTTCCATTTCAAAATATGAATTATTTAAACTTGTTTATGTTTTATTGTATAAATCTTAGCTTTTAAATTTAAAGACAAAATTGTTTTAATCTGCTTGGGAAATCAATAAATTAAACATATGCACATTGCACAAAAAACACTTTAATTAATTAATTTAAGAAAAAAGCTGTATGTATCTCACGAACTATTCGTATGATCTTGCTCAAGTTTTGTATTTTGCCATGTAAAATTAAATTCTTTAAAATAATTTACAAATTAGATACCTAACAATTTTTTGTGTGAATATTATAAAATAAAATAACAAAAAATAATAAATATTTACTGAAAGTTATTTTTTGCATGGAAATATCTTTGGATAAGCAAATTTTATAAGTGTGTGCAAAGTTTTTCACTTCGCTTAAAAAGTTCTTGAGATATGGCGAAATGTGCAAAAAGTATAATTACATAAGGGTCTAAACTTTGGACCATTCTCATTGCCGAACTATTGAGACTATATTTTCTAGATTGCAGCTATCCTTTATATTTTGATGTCAGAAAACTAATTTGTCGAAAAATAAGGTATATTTATTTAAAGAAAGTCTGTTTTTGTATCTTATTTTGCAACTTAGGATATCGTCTGCACTAATTATTAGCATATGTGAGGTCACCCTCTCAAACCATTAATAATTGAATCCTGGAACATGAAGATCTAGTCATTAGATTTTAAAGTAATTTAGGGTGGTCTATTTTTTGTGTGCCCTGTTTATAAGATTTACTGGTTGAACAGTTATTCTTTTAAAATGTAGCTGAATCATAATAGTATTTGAAAATCCTATTTTAATTAGTATTTTACTACCACTTTGCAAAATCTGTCCCAATATGCAAGTCTGGATTTTATACAGAATAACTTCATTTATAGTTTTTATGTTATATGTTTTTTCAATACAGTGAACTCTCGCTACTAGGATATCCAATATAACAATAACTTCCTTTATTACGATAATGTTTTGTGGTCCTGACCTACTTGTATATGAATTAATGTCATTCTCCTTGCAATATTACGATATTCTCTGAAGCAATAAACCCTTGTAAAATGATTTTTTTTTTCAAATTTCAACCTTATTTTCCCATTTCTTATTAGTTTTCAAATAATGTCAAAAACTTTATAATCTTTTGCCATTTTTCCCATCTTTTCTGACAAGAGAAGACTCACTGCTGACTACCACAAGAGCTTCCATTCCCTTATCTTTTAAGAAATCACAGATGTAACATTCTTATCTGATTACATTTCCTGGATGTTAAAAGCTAATCATGAGTCACAAATGACCACAAGCATCACATTAACACCCGAAAAAGAATTTGCTCTGTAGAGGGTGGGTGGAGCACCATTCACAAATAAAAATTATCTTCATGCTTTGGACTCAAATGTATACTTTGTTAGTTGACTTGACAGTAAAAAAAAGTGACTAAACAAGCAAAAATATCAGATTATTTTCAATAAAAATGGTTTTCGGGTATGTTTACGATCTTATTTTTTTGAATTATTTTTTTGAAGAATATATAAATTCATTTATAGTTAATACATATATAGCATTAAAATTAGAAAAAAATCTTATTGTATCCCTAAAGTATATAGGCCCCTGATATTACAATATATCTCTCTACAATAATATATTTATTTGGTCCCCGAAATATTGTTGTAGTGAGATTTTACTGTATTTATATTGTTCAACTGTTATTTTTGTGTTAATTGAGTTTGTTGTAATCTGAGTTTGTTCTAATGCATGCAATTTGAGTGCTTTTTGTGTACTAAACTTTTGTGTAAATTAACATTTTGATTTATTTCCTTTAACGCTTTTCCTTTAGCTATCACCTTTTTTCATTTATGCCTGGGCATTAAATTTAGGATATTAATAAGCTAATTGAAAATTGTTTGCATGTTAAATACAAATAGGTTAAGCAAATCTTTAAAAACATGAATTTTTAGTAAATCCCTATTCCTTTGTTAAATATTACAAAAATAATTTTCTCACAATTAGAAGTTACTGAGTTAAAGTTGTTAAAATGCATGCGTGAATGTTTTTAAAATGTTATAGATATACTTAATTAAGTGTAGATTTATTTATGGGCTGTTTTCAAAATTCTGTTCTATTTGATGTCTACCTGAGAAAATAATAGGTGCTTTCAAATACAAACGAAATTATTTATGAAAAAAAATAGTGTTTTATGGAAATCAGTTGAAAGGGAACTGAAAATATAGCTATGCAAAACATAGCTCTATTTTTTAAAAAAATTACTCTCTAGAAACAAAAAAATTCTACCGTGTCATATTGTGATAAATACTCTAAATTACATTCTTAAAAATTTTATAAAAGCAATTAATGAAACGATGAGTTTTTAAGAAACTAAATGTTGTCTTCAAATCAATGCCATACCTTACTTTAATTTACATTTTTGAAACTTTTCAATTGGAATTTATCTATGCCAATACTTGTTTACCTGTGAAGACTGTTTATTAAAGAAATATAAGCAGCTATTTCAGTTATTCTATAATTGATTGATAAAGGAGAGGCTTTATAGCAGTAAGTGATCTTTACTGTTTCATGTCTGTTACCATAATTAGTTGTATAAAAATCTTTACTTATTCATCTGAATTATGTCTAGTCTAAATCACATAGAATTTTAAATTCTTTTAGAATCACATTTTTGTTCTTTAAAATGTTATGTCTTTTACTTGATATGGTAAAAGGCATGGCAAACTTGGTAACAAGCTTGACATGATTTACGAGGATTTCTTTTATAAATTATGATATATGTATTAATAATATTATTACTGTTATATAGTAAGTATTTTTGCCCAGAACATATAAAAACAATAGGGATTAAGGGAACAGAATTGATAATTTTCATTGTATCTGATCAAAAAAGTTAGCAATAAAAATTAATAAAAAAAAGGAAAACAAGAGGAGTAAAAACAACTGTGTGTTAAATTATTTTTAAAAATTACATATTCTAATGTAAGAAAGAATTTATTTTTATATTTAATTAGTTTGGTAATGATGCTGAATTTTGAAAATGACCCTCATACTCTATTAGAATTATAGATATATTATTAGAATTCTATTTATGATGTTTGAAGTCAGTGATCTAACTTTTTTCAGCAATATTTTGTGTTGTTGTAAAATGTTGTTTGATAATATTTTCATTTTAATCAAATACCAATTAAGGAAAGTTAAATGTGTAAGTTGAAGTCGTTTTTGTTAGTTGAATATGTTTTATATGCAGTATCTGCCGCCTACATATATCACATTTTTATGATACTAAATAAATATTTGAGTTATTTATTTTTCTTTGTAGGACAAATGTTTAAATCTATTGTTTTTAACTTTCTGTTGTACAAATTGTAGAGTTTACAACTCTGAAAGAATGAAATTCATTCATAATTTAAATATTTACAGCTTCTCTATACATCAATGCAATTGAAGTTTTTAAGCAAATTAATATTTAAACAAGTTACAAAAATTGGTCCAACTTAAAATATTTATTGGCTTATTTTTCATAGACTTATTTTCATGTAATGAACGCAATAGTTTTATTATCCCTTTTTTATAAAAATATGGCAAGGTAAAAAAGTTAAATTGATATTTTTAACATCAAATTTTTTGTTTTAAAATTAAGTATGATTTTTCTTTTGATTTCTATCTAGTTCTTTTTCTTTTTAATTTTTTTATATTTTTATTAACGTTTTTATACAATAATGGAAATGCAATAATTGGGTAATGATAATTCAGCTGGAAAAATTTCTTCCAAAAATTGAGATGAATTTTTATTTTTTCTGTTTTTTTTTTGATATAATCTTTTGTTTTTATGGGCGTTTTTTATGATAGTGTGGCATTTTTAATAGCATTTCTGATAGACTATATTTTTTTTAAGGTTTTATGGATATTTTTCTTGCCGAAATTATTTTAGCTCTAAGGTTTTTTTTTAAGAATTAAGAGGATTTATTTATCTGAAATATTTCTAATGACTAACTATCATAGGTGTCTTCCTTTTACCCCATACCAATAATATATAAAAGTTTTGATTAATTTTGAATAATGACTAAATTTATTAATATAGTTTTAATGAATTTAGAAAAATTATTATTAAAAAATTATTAATATATAAAAATTATTAATAAGTAATATATTAAAAATATTTATTAATAATTTATAAAAATACGTTTTGCTTTTCGACCATTTTTTTAGCCGAATATTCGATATTCGGCCAAATTACTATACATTACATCTCTAATCTATGTGTCTTCTCATACAATTTAACAAGATATTGTATCATCCATGTCTAAAGGTGAATATCCTTATTATTCTTTTATGTATAATAGTACTAATAGAAAGGGTAATAAAAAAATTCTAATAATCAAAATAAATTTTCGGCTTAGCTATCTATGTTAGAGATTTGGTTTGTAACAAAACTTTAATAAACTTTACTTATAGTGAGTTTCAGAACTTTTTTTTGTTGGAATTATGTTTCTGGGGTTTAAATTGTTTCAAAGAACATGGAAAAGAGCTCTTTTAATTCTGACAGCTACAGTATTGAAGTTTCTGCTAAGAGCCTCCCTTTTCATTCTTAGTTCACATAAGTCTGGTGTATAGTTTTAAAGTTATCCTACTGAACCAAAGTGAAATTACACTTTTTAAAGTAGAGAATACAAAATAGCAAATTTAAATATTTTGAAATTAATCGAATAGTATCACTTTTTTAACATAAGTCAAGGCTTCTCCTTCAAGGTTTCTGAATTTGTAATAATATCTACATTAAGCAATCATTTTACATGTAAGATTGGCTTTAAATTTTACTCTGGATGCTATATCTGTGAATTTGTAAAGCGGCAGTTGCTGGATACTGAAATTTGATCGCAACTGTTTACAAACTCTAATTTCAAACTATGTTATTAGCATAGCTGCCAACTCTACTGGATTTAACAGTTTCTCCTGGTCTTCTGGTTTAATAAAAATTCTCCTGTTTTTGTACATTTTAGAAAATTCCCTAAAATTGAGTGTTTCCTAAAAAAATCCCTATTGAAATAGAATTTTCAGATAGATTATTATTGCTTGCTTAAACATTTAAATAAGTATTTCTACTAATACATAATGAAGCGAGCCTCATTTATAAAAATCAGTTTAAAACTTTATTTTTGTTCTAAAATGTTCAATTTGTTTTTATTTAGAACTCCCTTTTTTAAATTAATTAAAAAATCTTTTAAGTATCTTTGATGAATTAAATGCCTATTACTAATTAAAATTATGAGTAAACATAATACATAACATTTCAAGTTTATTTAATGTCAGTCATAACTGAAAAATATTTCAGTCTTTCTATTTTGATGACTGATTGATGACTATGTATAAAATATTTAATACATTATGAAACAGTTATCATGAAATTTATATTATTTTGTGAAATTTACTGGATTTTTTCTTATCCATGTTGGCAGCTATGTATTATTTTTTTTGAGAAAAAAAGTGTGTATACATTTATCTTAAAAACTAAAATTCTCTAAAGTATGTTTGATGGTTTATTCAGGATGAGATAGCGCTTGAGAAGCATGTTACCAAGATTGACCAGTAAGTTTTTACTAATATTTTACCTAACATTGAAAGATTTTATATTCACTTTAGTAATACAGTTTTAAACACAACAGTGGAATTTTTTTAACTCAACCTCTAAAGCAGTTTGTTCTATGTGTTGTTGCCCGTTTTGCAGAAACTTCAAGGAAGTCTTCATAACTTATATGGGCATATAAGGCCCAATTTTCTGGATTATATTTTATTTTCTGACTCCAAGTTCTAGCCTTTTGACTTTCATAAATAATTTTAAAACTGATAAGAATTGAAGCAAGCAAGAAAAGTGAAAAGTCCCATCAACTTATAAAAAATTAGGTTTCTTTAATAAAGATAGTTTTATATTTCCTCCCCCCCCCCCATTTTTTTAAAAAATATAGTTGTGTTTCGTATTAGTTTAAAGGAAAAAAGTAACATGATTATTGGATGTGTAGTTTGTCTATGTAAGGAACTCCCCTTGCCATTGGTCTTGAGTAGTGGTGGTGACCTTGGTTACAAGGCTTAACTGTTTCAAGGAGGTTGGGTCATTCTTTAAGGCAAGTTTTAGCTCGGGTCTGAAGAAAAGGAATCAGAGGAGAAAGAAGCTACCCTCTTTGAAATTTTCTATTTCTTGTTACCATAGCAGCAGATGGGGAGGGGAATTCTGTGGGCTTTTTATATCAAAACTAACTGCACATAGTTTAAGTGTTATTGCTCATTTAATTCAAATTGATTTTTTTATGTCCTTATCAATATCTTTTATAATTTTCTGCTCTATTCATTAATATTTTAGAAAACAGTATGTAAGGAATAAATGGGCCATATATATTAATAAAATAATAATTTTATTTTTTCTTTACTTAGACATTTTGATTGTCCCTAATAATAAATATATCATTGTCTTTCCAAAGAAATATTATGGTTTTTTTTTCCGAAACATGTTATTTATCATTTTTCCAACAGCAAATTAAAATGGTTCTCTCTGAAGAAATAATTGCTTTCTTAGTTTTTCAATTTTTATCAGATAATTAGCAGTCTAAATTCAAAATAAAATAAGAATATAATTTTTTTTGTCCTGCTTATATCTTCTTTCACAATATTGAAGTGTTTAAAGGTTATATCTTGTATGAAAAAATAATTTTTTTGTGTGACATTTGAAAATTTTTTAAGTGTCAGTTATTGCGTTTATTAAACAGATCAGTAAGATTGGATTTTTTGAGGTCAAAAACTGGTTTTGGACATTGCATATTAAAAACCTATTGAAACGTGTCATAAACTGTCAAGATCAGACAAAAATTGGGACAAGTTTCTTTTTTGTCATTGGAGACATTTTATTTAAAGTTGAATCATGCACAATATTTGAATTATAATTACTATTATAATTTTGATTTATATTATATCATGTATAAAAAATATAGCCAAAATTATTGAAACTATCAACTGAATTTTCTAAAAAACATGGTACTACTATTAACTTTAAGATCAATATTATTTGCTATATTATTATAATATAGCAAATATAATTTATATTGCAGGTAATAACTGTGAGTTGTTAAATGTTATAAATCTAAATATTCATTTCAATTCTTTATGCCACTATTTAGGTAGATTTTTTAGATTAAATAATACCATTGTGTTGTTAGTACTTATATGTTCCTGAACATTGCCTATAAATCATGATTATTACTTCCTGATAAGAAAACTAATTATAATTTGCAAATAAAATATCAATATTTGTTTAAAGGAGTTAATAGCTTTTTAAATCAATCAATTCAAGAGTTCAATTAAGTTATCAATATTTAGTCCAGCTATTAGAATAAGCTTTCTAGATACATGTTATTTTAGTATGTTATAATAATTTTAGTATGCCTACGCTTTTGTTCATGCAGCTCAGCGATAAAATATTTTTGGATTCGATCTTATTCCTTCAAATCTTAAAAATAAACTTGGAGTAAAAAGGGTTTCAAAATAAGTGTTTTATAATGGCATGCTTTTGGAAAGGGTGGAGTTAATATGGGAATAAATAAAAATTGATTGTACGCTTAATGAATAAGATTATTGTTAAGTGTTTTTATTTTAAATGATTGTTTTTGTATTTTTCATTTCAATAATTAAACCAATTAACAGATTCAATTAATTGCAATTTTATACATTTTTATATATATTTATTAAATATATATAATAGATAGTTATTTTTTACGCCAAAAATTTGTGGTTTTGACAGTAATTGTCAATACAAAAAGGGGTGTCATTAAAAAATGATGAAAGAACATAGTTAATAATTTGTTATTTTGTTGGTATTTGTTAAAAAGTTTTTTCATATCTGTTATAGATAATAATAATTTTTTTCACCTAAATTTTGGTTTTTGACTATTATCAAAAATTGTGAAAAAGAGGTTTTTGACATGACAGTTAAAAACCAGGTAAAACTGCAAATTGTTAAAAAATTGCCAACTCTGCAGATAAGTCTCATTATTTTATTAAGTCAATATTAAAAGTTTTTGAGTTCTTGTTAACCCCAGTGTGTCCATGCCATAAAAATATAATTTTAAAAATTTATATTTTATCAGTTTATTGGGTGAGTCTTAAGATTTATTAGTTTTGAGAATTTACATATATTTTCTTACATAGTTTTCACACAATTCATAATTTTTGCTTACAAATATATTTCTAGTATGAGAGTGATTCTAAAATTTGTCTAATAACTGTCCAACATGGTTTGAATTATTAAGGTTCCACTGTTAGTGTGAAACTTATATATTTTATGTTTAGTGGCACTCATATTTTATTATCAATATTAAATTCACGTAATGCTATTATTATTTTTTGTTTTGTCTTATACGATGATTATGATTCTTTAAAAGAATTGATTTATTTAATTATTTTTACTAAAATTATTTTTATATATCTAATTTATTGAGTAGTGGATAAAAAACTTAATCAAAGCTAAAATAAGTATTATAATTTAAAATAATTTACATACATTTTTACACGCTTTTGAGCTTCATGTGTAAACATGAAGCTCAATTGAGCTTCATGCTTTTGAGCTTCATGTGTTTGTTTTTTTTGTGTGATTTCTATTATTCATGCTATTTACTAATAGTTCAAATATTTTTCTTTTACTAAATCTGAGCCTAATTTTTCTGCTTTGAATGTATGCTTACCTCACTTACTTACCCTAATGATATTTTCCTTATAATTAGACTATATTGTACTGGTTAATAAATATTGTTTATTATCTCTTTTATTAATAAATATTGTTTATTGCTGGGAAATTATTTAATTCTGAAATTTGTTTGTTAATATTTTTAGACTGGAGAACACAACTAAAAAATTATATAAAGATGCTAAGAAATATGAAGATTGCATATTGGGTAATATATATGTTTACATTTATGATATTAAACTGCTTAACCTTCTGACAGATAGGGTATTCCCTTTCTCCTAAATTTTCTTCTTTGTTAATCTGTTGGAAAGTTAAGATCTTTTTGAAATAGTTAAATCTGTCTTAATATGCATAAATTTATTTTAGATGTTAATCGCTCAGAAAAAAAGATGACATCTGATTTATCTAATAGCTTACTGTGTCATGACGAGGCAAAATTGAGGGAACTGGTAGAAGAATGGCATTCATATGTGTCTAAAGCTGGGGTATTTGATGAAGATCTGGTTAGTTATTAATTAACATTTGTATGTTAATTAATGTTTGTATAACATTTGTTGTTCATCAAACATAAAACACAAAGGACAAACATAACATTGAAACAATAAAAATCACAATTACAAAAATAAAATTTGCTTGTCAGATATTAAACTTGCACTGTTAATTATTGATATAAAATATGATTATTTAGAAATAGAGTTTTTGTTATACAATTTGACTGGTAACCATACTTGATAAAATACATTTTTCAAAAGAGGGGATAATCAGCTGTCCGAGAAGAAAATGCATTAGAAATTTGCTCACTTGAATTAGATTTTACATCTTCTGCTAATTATGGAACTTAAGATGTGCATGAAAAAGAAAATCCTGTTTAAGAACAACTGTTATTTTTTTTTTAAATAGTAAATTTAATTTAGTATTTAACAGAAATTTTTTAAAGCATAATTTATAATTAATAGTTGTAAAAATTTTATTTAATATGTTACATTTCATAAACTTTTAAAATCTTTTTTTTTTCAAAAAAGAAAAAATGCAGCTAATTACAAAAATAGTATAAAGAATATTTAATTTCAATAATTTTAAAAAACAATATAATTTATAGAAGTTGATAAATAGTTTAAAAATGCAGTTTTATCCTGGGTTTCCCTAAAACGATGTCTATCATCTTTTAGGGAAACCCTGAAAGATCAATCAACTCTCACTAAGATCAATCAAGGAGACAAAATATTTGTTGAAAACCAGGCATGATAACGAAATCATTACCTACCAAATCTTTGTGACACCATAAGCAATGAGTGTCTAAAAATGGGAAACATATTAGTTATGTAACTACGCAGATACATATATTCTTTTTTGTGACTGTTTAAGTGGAAAGCCTTTACCTGTGAGTAGAGAATTATGAAGAAGAGAATCTTTGTCAAATTTCATTCCTTGTTCCTGTAATGCTTATATAATACAGTCAAACCCTGCTATAGTGACGTTCAAGCGACCGAAATTTCGGTTCACTATAACCGTTCAGCAAACAATTTTAACTAATGGTTCCAAACCATTTAATTCCATATTATTACATACTATTTGAAATGAAATCGAAAAATGACTGAAAAATAATCCATATTAGCATAAATGTGTTAACTTCTATTTTTTATAACTCTTCGTCTTGCGTACCAAAAAAAATAGTAATCCTTAGTTGATGAGCAATCCTCAACTTCAGATTTGCAAACACTTCCCGACCCTCCGATAATTTTTTTCTGAATTTATGTTATTCCGGTTTTTAAGCCTGTCTAACCAGACATTCAAGCACATAAAAGTAGTCTCATCAAATAGCCACTCACCAATATAAATTCATTGACTTTGACTTGAAGCATTTGTCCAGATACTGGAAGATTGCAGCTTCTTTGAATGCTGAACCAATTCAATAATGGTATTCAATAGTGAAACAAATAAGAAAAAAATACTTATTGCTACATTCCATGCCATAAAAAGTTTTAAAAATCGATATATGTATTTATTTTGAAGTAGAAATTTCAAAATTGTTATAAAAAAATGAAGAAAATAAACCAGTCGAGATCAGAGAAAAGTTCATAATATCCAACTTCCTCTCTTTTTTTTGGTTCACTACATTCACAGAAAATATCATTATATGTTTGTAGCAAGGCACAGGAGCCAACATTTCAATCACTATATCTGTAAGTTCACTATAGAAGTTTATTTTGATTTTATTTTAAAACTTGAAAATTTTAAGAATCTAAACGTCATGTAACATTAAATTGCCTGTGTGAAAATCTAATTTAATTACTATAGCATTGTTATATATTTTTACAAAAAATATCAATGAACTCTAAATCCTATGCTTAAAAAACAACAGCTTTTTATTGAATTTGATATGTCTAGTATGTAACAGTAAATTGCAATAATGATTGATCATTTGTAAAGTTAAAATAAAGACTTGACATGATGTGTGGTCTTTTAGATTTAAAATTTGCAGCATTTTGAAATTGAGGTGCTAGTGAAAAATGTATAAGTCTTATTTCTTTTAAATGTTATATTAACTTTCATTTCTATATATTAATTTTACTGTTTTTTTTTTCCTACTTCATAGGTATTACTTACTCGCAAAACAATTGTTGAACCTTTAAAAAAGTAAGATTTTAATTTTCTTATTGAATTCTGATTTATGTTATTTTATCATTTGTATGATTTTTTGCTCATGTATTTAAAAACTTATTAAATTTAGTCATACCATTAACTTGTTACAAAAGAATTGTATGTGATAGTTCGATGATTGTTTGTATAGTTTGCGTCAACATATTTATTTGGACATTTTCTTGCATAAGTTTTGAAAGATATTGACACTGGAGATACTTCTTTTGTTTTTTCACATTTGCATTGGGCATCAAAACAGTGCTCAGTCGATTAGCTCAGGCTAGGTGTAATATAAAGAAAAAAAAATTGCATAACTTTAATCAGTTTTTTGAGGTTTTAATTTTAGAACAATCTGTAGAATTACAAAATTTTATCATGTCTACAAATTTATTTAAAATATATTTAATTTCTAAATTCATGTTCTCTATAAATTACGGCAAAATACTGAAACAGTGCTCCCTAATTTCGGTGAAAATTACCACCATGTAAAGTGGGTGAATAAAGGGTACTGAAGAGAATGCAAAGCGTTGTTTTAAAAAAAAAAACTATATTTGACTGGGCATATTTAAATATAAGTTACAAAAAAGATAAAAAATAAAGTAAAAAAAATTATATCAAAAAAAGTAAATAGAAATTTTAATTAGTAAATCTAATTTACCTTCTACAGCAATCCTTTATTTTAAAATCTTTGTACAATTGCCACACATGCAAATAGGTGAAAAAATAAAAATTCACTGAGAAAAATAAAAATATGGAGAACAAAATATTTCATAAAAAGAAAGATAATTAAAATATGAATAATATCAGAGTCATCGTTCAAAATAAGGTCAACAAACACTTCATTCAATTGATCAATAATCTAATTGTTTATAAATCCGACATTAACTTTCGCTTGAATTCCTTCTCAGTCAATGCCAAAATGCCTTGAAGTTCTGTGTATTATGGAACCATTTTCCTTATGCCGTCAGATAACTTCCAATTTTTTAGACACCGTGTAGGAATTTATTTTAGCTATCATGCTTGTTGCAAATCTGAATAACGACTAATTCAAACTTCTGTGAACATACAAAATCTTTAGTCTCCACCCCCAAAGTATTCAGATTTTTATTGTCCGTTTAGAACGATTATGAGAAGCGATGACTCCCTTTTACCCCATATCTCTTACATTTTTCTTTTCCTTTTCTATACATATTTTTCTTCCCCATTAGGACAATTCTAAGAGTGATGCCTTCTTCCTTTTATTCAATCCTTCACTTTCAATTCTCTCATCTGCTATTCCACTTAAAAAATATTTCTCTTTCTTGCGGGCTGGCATACGTATCATTCAACATGACCTACATGCAGCTGAGAGGAAATGTTGACCATATGTGTAGAGGATTGCTTTCCTCTTTCTTCCCACAGGACTTTACAAACACTTGCATTTTTGTTAGCAATCTTCTACTCAGTAACTCTTATTGATTAATCTTTTCCCCTTATATTAATTCCTTACCCTAAACATCTGAATAACTATTTTTTCAAAAACATTCTTAAAATAAGAATTTTTAAATTTTGTTTTAAGGGTGGGGGTGCATTTATGATACTGATTGGGAATCAGTATTTGTGTGAAACTACAGGGGATTGTTTTCAGTTAGACAGGTTTTACAGGGGAGTTTGGGTTTTTTATTGGTACTTTACAGTATAAATGAAAATTTAATTTTTGAAATAATAAAGTCTCTCCGCATTTTAAATGTATTTAAAATACTGGAAAATTCTTAATATTGGCACAGAAACTTTATGATTGAAGCTTGAACGTTGAACAGCTTATCATCTTCACAGAAAGTCTAAAGTGTTAGGGTATTTTTTGAGGTAAGAAAACTGGGACGGGCTGGTAGCCTATTAGATGAATGTTTTATTGTTATTGAATTATGATTGTTAGATGAATATTTTATTATCAAATTGTTATTTTAAATGAAATTGCAGTATATTTATTGCAGATTTAATAACTTAAGCTTTATTTTATATGATTAAACTTTAAATTTTTTTTAAAAAAGCTTTTTTTTTTTTTGCATTTTGGTAATCAACCTGAAGATTATTTATTTTATAAAGTTGATAATTTTAAAAGTTTAATAATGTTTTTCTTGCAAAGCAAATAAAAGCTTTGTTATTTTATTATAATTTTATTAGTGTCTCCAATAATATTGTTTCTTTTAGAGCCTATTGAATTAATTAGTAAATTAATAGTTCAACAGTTAGTGTTTTCAAATTATATTTTTTATAAACTTACTCACTCAAATATCAAATGATTCTAAGAAATTTCAAAAGTATTCTTTCTATTTTTTCTGCTTATGTTTGGCCTTACTGTTATTATTCTTTAAAAATTTCTAAATGATTTTTTGGGAAATAATTAATAGTTTGAACATGTAGGTTGCATATTGATTGTAACATAATAAATTGTATTGAAAGGAGAACTTAGAATATAATTTTTATTACTGGTTTAATTTTACTTTTAAACTAATAAGTAATGTGTTGTGATATGTTATGTTTAATCCATAGATTTCAAGGAGCATTTACAGAAACAAGAAGTGCTTTGAAAAAAAGAGAACAAGCAATGCAGGTGATAATTAAATTTTTTTCCCTAAAGAGGAATAAGCTTTTGTTGCAATAGTCTTTTATGTGTATTTGTTATCTAAATTTACTTAAATTTAGTTTTGTATTATTAACTATAGCTAGGCTTGTATACATAACTTTTTATGAGAAAAATCTTAAGATTTATGTCATAAAGGTTGGTTAAAAATAATGTTATTCCTTTATGATTGTTCTATCAATTAAAATTTAATCTTACTTTTTATATTTTAGGAATGTGCAAAAGCAAAAGAAAAAGTTCAAAAACTTCAAGGAAAAGAAAAAACTGGCCAGAATTTGGTTAAACTTGAAGCGGTAACAGTTATTGCAATTAATATTATTGTAATGGTTAGACCTGTGCTAGAAATATGTTGATTTTTTTATAGAAGTTCCAAAAAATTATAAGAATAACCAAAAAGTTTGAAAAAAGAAATGCAAGTTATGAAAACTTGCAGACATTAGAATAAATGTAGAATGCGGCAAAAATTGCTACATTTATTCTTTCTTATTTTTGAAATTTCTGCTGCTTTTATGGGTTTTTTTTCAAAGAAGTTTTGTCAATTTAGAATTAAATTTTTTGTATTATTTTAGTGTTGCAGACATTAGCACACTTTTTTAGGAAGAAGGTCAATTCCTATGAAATAATCCAAAAAAAGTTATTCTTAACCTTCAAGTTGTTAAAACTATAGCAGCAAAAAAAAAAAAGGTAAAAAGGAAATCAAATAAATGAAAATTAATTAAATGAAAATTAATGATTAAAAAGATCTTTAAGATTGATATGATTTCTACAAATCTTAACATCTATGGACTATTCTCCTGAATGTTTGTGTTCTTTGCCTTTGTTTTTCTTACAAAGAATTTTTCTATTTCTTTAAAAAAAATTATTTTATGTCTTCCAGTTATTATTTTTAAAAGCATAAAGTTTATAATATCAAAAATATGACTAGCAGCTTAATGTAAATGTGTAAAATGTCACTTTCTGCCCTTTGTCACCAATTTTTAATTTAATTACAACGCCTGTTAAATATTCAGTGTAATTGTACATATTTTTGTTGCTACATGTTAAAGTTCTTTTGAAATGAATACTATAGTGTCCCTTAGCCTTTTTATATTTTCACAATTCATCAGAAAAAGGCTGGCCTTCCGTTTACTTGTCATTGTTTTCCCTTGCTACAATGTTAAATTATCAAATGGTCACATATTGAATAAAAAAGGGCTGAATAGTTCATAAGATTCCTAATACAAATTGAGGCTTAATAACTAATTTTAAATGATTATTTTTAACCTCTTAAACCTTTTTATGTGTTTTGTATAAATTTATTAGTTTTTTCTGCTATGATGTTACTTTATTTAAAAATGTAGATAACAGTCAATTTGTTGTTTCAGAGAGAAACCTGGCTCTATTTAAAACCATAAAGACCAATTACTTATGAATTGTTAATTATAAGTTGGTTCAGTTTCACTAAATTTTGAACATTAAAAATTTCTTTCAACTTTCCATTTAAATACTTTGTTTACTTTTATCTACTTAGATGTAATAAATGTTAATACAGTGTAAAGTCGCGTATCCGGAATTGGTGGGACTTCCAGAAGTCCGTATAATAGATTTTTCGGTATAATTTACCCCCAAGGTAAGCAAAGCTTAAAATGACCTAATAAACGATCTGAATCTAAGAAGCAAAACATAAATAAACATTATTTTTAAGGGGGATAATGTTTTAGTATTGGAATATCTAATTAATCAAACATAAAATATGTTTCAGAAAAAAATATTATTGCTAAAAATATAAAAAGCGAAAAAATTTGACAGTTATGAAAATATTAAACGGCCATTTTGAACTAGAACGATTCAAGCAGGAAGGGGAAATTCACTTCATTCTGGAACAAAGCTTAAAATGATCTAAATCTAAGAAGCAAAAATAAATAAACATTATTTTTAAGGGGAATAATGTTCTAGTATTAGATAATCCGATCAATCAAATCCAATCAATGAAATATTAGAAGAAAAAAAATTATTGCTTAAAATATAGAAAACTGAAAAAAAAAATGGACAGTTATGAAAATAATAATCCGCCATTTTTAACTAGAAGGATTCAAGCAAGAAAGGGAAATTCCCGTCATTCATTAAGGTGGGTAGGTGGAGGAGAAAAATTCATTTCCTCCTTATTTGTGAAAGAAAATAAGTGTAGAGAGGAGATCATTAAAGTTGAGGGCGGGGAAGTGACAAATTATTGTTTTCTCTTCAATCATTGGCTATCAATCAAGCATAAAAGCGGGGCACGCTGATGGGGTTCTCTTTATTTTTTCTTGTGTGACTGAAAGAATCTGCTAACGAAAGAATGTTACCCCCTTTTTTCCCCCCACCTTCTAAATATTACATGGCCACCTATTCAAATGTTCCATTTTGACTCCCCCTCCATGTTAACACTTGCTGTGTTTACCCTTTTCTTTCAATAAAAAGGTTCCAGGAAATGCCTCTTTTACTAGCCAGCTGCATAGGAAAAGAGAGGGGAGAGGATGCAGTTATGGTCTTTTGAAAACAAATCTCCCTCTTTTTCCTGCATTCCAGAGTAGGAGCGTCGCTAAGGGTCTCTCGATGGTCGAGAAAACGTGTCAAAAGACCATTTTTTTTTTAAAGAAAGGGGAAGATGAGATGTTTGTTTATTTTAATTGTTAAAAAGTGTCCGGGAAATCGATCCTTCCGGAAAAGGGACGTCCGAATATGAGACGTTATACTGTAGTTACTTTATATGATAAAATTTTGATGCTTGAATATATCAGAAACCTTTATTTCTATGCAGGCTAAGCAAAATTTAGTGAACTTGGAGGAAGATTTTCAAGCTTTAGATAGAGTTCTAAAATCAGAATTGCCTTTATTATATGAAGGTCGAATAGAATATTTTCAACCTTGTTTGGAAGCATTAATTAAAGCTCAGGTTAGAATATTTCACATTTAAAATAATTTTATGCTTTTTATTACTGAAATGAAAGAAAAAATTGGCTCTTTTCAAGATGTGAATTTCTAAAAAATGTTCATGTATTTATATTTTATAAAAGTCATGAAAATTTAATGACTTTTTATTATATATTTTATGATAAATTTAGAGCTATATCTAGCAATAAATAATAAAGATGATAATAAGAATCTAAAGAAAAAAATATTATGAGTTTGGCAAAAGTTTGGAAAGTGCCAATTGTTTTCTGAGAAGTTTTAATTTTTAAAATTAGTACTGCAATAATAAGAAAATATTGAACTTTTATATATATTTATAAATATAAACCTACTATGAAAGTAAGGAAAATTGTAAAGTTTTTGGTGAAAATATTATATTGTAGGGTTAAAGTCATGTTAAATTTTCAGGAAGAATTTTTCACATTATTCATATAAATTATGCATTTAGTTTTATCAAAACTTGTATTTTCTTCAATTATAAAATTTGTCAACATGCTTTTCTTAATCATTTTTTTGGATAACTATGATGTCAATCACTCTAATGTACTCCAGGAATTTTGCTCTTACTTTGTGTTAGACCTAGTCCAAATCAATATTTGATTTTTGTTTATCACAAAAATAGAGTTCAGTATATTTCAATTCTAGCATTAAATTGTCCAGTTATTCATCCAACCCTTTCTAATTGTTAGTTTGCTTTTAAATTAAGTCAAAAATAGCAAAACAATGCATCATAACATAGCAGCTGGAAATAGAAAAATTCAAATAAAATTACCATAAGTATATATACATTTAAAGATTTAGAATATATTGTGTAAGAATTGTAACAAAAGATTAAGTTCCATTTTATTTAATGAAGTTTTTTTTAATAGGTTTCAATTATATTAATTAAAATACTTTTTTAATATAACATCGCAACTTGCACAAATAAAATGCTTTTCAAATAATGCATTCTTCTTTTTCAGTTTTTAAAAAGGGCAGAAAGTTTATATCAATGGGATAAAAGTAAAGTTGACCTATGAAATTTCTATTTGTTGATGCAGTGAAAAAATTTTTGGGACTTAGTTTTTAGGTCGCAAATCCTACTTGGAGTTTGTGCCATTAAATCTTATATATCATTGGTTTAAAAATATAAAGCATCCAAATCAACTTAGCGATATTTTTATTACCAGTAAAAAGTATTTAAATTTATTTTGATAATTTAATTTATATGATGATAATGTCATCTCAAATATTATCACACATGATGTTGATTTGCAACGCACTTCCCTAACAAACACGACCAAGCTCCCTCTATCAGGGCCCTATCTTTTAACAGTGATTGCAGAATGCAAGATAATTTTGATTCCAGTCAAAGGATATGGTCAATGCCTGTACCTTCTTATTCTGCATATTAGTAATTAGTAAAGCTTTTCAAACTTCAATTCCACAACCAACAAGAGGACTTTCAACCACAGCAGATTTAACTTTTACAATGCTGAGTATATAGGTTGGCTGTTTAGTTGACTTCCATAATTTAACTCACCTCCCCCAGCTCTCCTTCAACGGAGTGAGTAACGCTTTTACCAATCGCACCTTTGGAGCGCTTGTTAATTCAAAAGCTATATTTGCACTTATTTATATCTTGTGTTTTTTGCATAAAAAGTATGTTGATAAAGTCAGTTTAAGGAATTACATACGAAATGTTCAATATCAAAGTAGATCAATATCAAATAATCAAAGTTGAAATGTTACTGAGTCACATAGTCATAGTTACGGAGTCACTAATTATTTGAATATTCTTCCCCTTTATGTTAAATTAATTTTTTTTAAAAAAACAATCTAAAATATATTTTATGTGTAGGAGGAAAATATAGGATTATACATTTGTTTTATCAAAGCATTTTTCCTGACAGAGTCAACTAAACTTTGAATGTTAACTAAATATGATGGTTTCAATCCTGTAATGCATGAAGAAGACATCTTACCTGTACTTCAATCCTTCAAACAAACATATTTAAGCAAGTTTTAGTAAAGTGTGTTTTTATTTAGTTGGCATCAAAAAGATTTTACTTAATAAATCAAAACAAGAAGCATGTAAGGTTCGTAAAACAGTTCTCATTTGAGTTTATTGGAAAAAAATACTTAAAATATTGTAAAATTAAGAAGAAAAAAAAAGCAAACAATGGATTAAGCTGGTTTTTGTCTTTTCCAGCTTTTCTGTTAAGGGACAACTCTACAATGATTATTTTAAAAATTTACATATTTTCTCAATTAATTTTAGGATTGCATTATCAATGTTCATGGATTTCTTTTAACAATACTCTACAATTTTTTTGAATGAAATTTAAGCTATTTTCTTAACAATCAAAAAAGTGAAACCTTATTTGAACTTTGTAAAGAGAAGTTAAAGTTTGTGTGTACACTTCAACTTTGCAGGGCTATATATAAACTTAGTTTTTGTGAAATTCTAAATGATGTTTAATTGTGGGAATGGTTTCTTTGTTAGCAATTTTGCATTGTAATTTATTTCATATAATGCTTTAACTAAAGATTTTCGCTTATTATTTTATTACTTGACAACTATAGTTTTCTTTTACTTTTTAGGTCGAACACAGTGGTAATTCTGCAAAATTGTTTACTGAAACCATTCCAAGTTTAAAAGATTTTAACTATTCTGAAATGGAGCTGAGACAAGTGCAAAATCAAAGATTTTCTTTGATTCATTCATTATCAATTGTTGGCGATAATTAATATCATTTAATTTGTATGTGTGTTAAAAATAAATATTTTTATTTGTAAGGCATAAATATTTTTATTTATTTCTAACCATAAAAATCGTGTATTTTAAATGAAGTACAAATATCTAAATTTAATTTCATATCATGATGATGTTTTATATGCACCCATTATTAAAAGTTTGCTTTATAGCTGATCTAAACTAGCATCCAAGTAACAAGTATTCAGTTGTCTTTTTTCTAAAAGTATTTTTAACAGGCATAAACTTAATGAACACAAACTAAAAAAAAAAGAAAAGAAAAGCTGCGAATATTTAAAACCTTTTTTTCTCTGAGTACTTTCTTACAAATGTTATTTGACAGTGATTTTCTTCATGAGCTTATATATTTATTTAATATTCCACTGTTTTCTTTCATCATTTTATAAATTTTACAAAATTTCCCTTTTGTATTAACAAGAGATAAACAACCTAAAGATCAATAATTTTTAAGGCTTCCATCCATTCTTCATAAATTTTTGTTTCAAATCTATAAATAATTGAAATTTTTTTTACCAATGTAATTGACTTGCATTATGATCAACTTAATCATTGCATTATGATCAACTAGAATCATTAATCAAATTTTTTTTAAAAATATTTCATATTTTATTAATTAACATCATTAATAATAACATATTACAGTCAAACCCCGCTATAGTGAACCTTCAAGGGACCGAACTTTCGGTTCACTATAACCGGGAGTTCACTATATCCGTTACGCAGTCAATTTAACTAATGGTTCCTTAACTCCTCCCTTTTACTACACATTATTCAAATAATTGACTGAAAAATATTATGTAGCTGCAAAAAATGTGTTATTTTTCATTACTCTTCGTCTTGCGTACAAAAAGATTAGTAATCTTTAACTGATAAGCAATCCTCACCATCAGATATGGAAACACTTCCCGACTCTCAGATAATTTTTCCTGAATTTCTGTTATTCCGCTTTTTAAACCTGTCTAACCTGCCATTCGAGCACAGAAAAGTAATCTCATAAAATCGCTTAGCAAATTCATCGACATTTGCCAGATGCTGGAAGATTGCGGCTTCTTCGATTGGTGAACCACTTCAGCAATGTTTCTCCATTTTCCTTGTGATATGCTTTTCTCAACTTTTTTCCAACATCTAAATTTTTTTCATGAGCAGAAATTATTAATGGCCTTTTTTTTCATATGTTACAAACTGCAGATTTGGATAGTTTATATTCCCTGCAATTATCAGCTTGATTGCATGCATTTTAAATTTTTCTGATTATGCCCATTTTATCATCAATGGAGTACGTTTTACGTTTACTGCTAGCCATAGTTAAATTCGAGACACTTGCTTGCAGGATTTATTTTAACTGAACTGAGAGCAAAAAGGAGTTGAAATGATGGCCTTATCAACACATATTAGTGTCCAACTCTTAGACCAATAATGAATAATTACTCATTCCTTCTGAAAAAAAAATGCATATTGATCCGGCTGACACCTTACAGATGCATCGTCTGCCTGGGTTGGAAATATCTGCTTGGTTTGTTTAGGGATGAGAAAGTGATATAAAAGAAGCAAACAAGAAAAAATGCTTATCGCTACATTCCCCTCTATAGATGGTTTTGAAAATCGGTATATGTATTTAATTTGAAGTAGAAATTTCAAAATTATTACAAATTTTTTTTAAAAAAAATCAGTCGAAGACGGAAAAAAATTCACTATATCCAACTTCCTCACTTTTTTGGTTCACTATATCCACAAAAAATAACATTATCCGAGTATAGAAAGGCACGGGACCGAACATTTCATTCACTATATCCGGGAGTTCACTATAAACCGTGTTTGACTGTATTTCTAAATATGTATCTTAAGCTTTTTTTATTAAATATGTCAATATTAAATATATTAATATAAAATATATTGACATAAAATATATTAATTTAACATATTAATTATGATATTTAATAGATAATTTTGATAATAAATATTTTTAGTTATAAATATCAGATGATTAACTTAAAACTCTGTGTATCTTACATGATTTAAATTCATTTATTAAGTATCAAAATATATCTCTAGTTTAAATAGTCTGTTTTTTCTATTCCTATTATTTTTTGTAGTATTTTTTCTTTTCATTATTGTGTGTTCTAGGCTGTTATGTTTGTTTTTCCCAAGTGGTTTTTTTTCCTTGGGAAAACTTTTAATTGAATGTTTTGAAGTGCATAATTTTTTTCAAAAGCTTTCCTAAAAGAAAAAAGTGGGTTGTGTAGTGGGATTTGACATAACAAAGTGATCAAAATATGTTAAATATTAGAACTAAAAAATGTTAAATTGTTTTATTATACATCAAAACAAATATAGTACAAATAATAAATGTCTTAAAAGATTCAAGTTAGAACTTGCCAAAACCATGAAAAAATTACATTGCACCTGTTCCAGATCAAACTGCTTTTTTCCTAAATGTATGTACATAATTTGATCATAGTTTTTGTACTTTTTGTAATAATTTTCTAAAATTGAGTACTCTTTTCTGTAACATCTTCCAGAATTTAATCTGTTTTGGCAAGTTCCACTTCAACAATCTGAACATGATTAATCACAACAAAGTTATATCTATCAGATTCTGTCAAACTTTAATTTTGTTACAAATCTAAAATGTGACTTATTAAAAATCTGTGTCAAAGATTCTCTTGATTGATATGTTAATTCTGTGATGGCTGGATTAAGTTCTTAAAATCTATGCCTTGAAACCTACGATTTTTGTATGATAACTAAACTTATTGAATAGATAACATTTTCAAATCCTTTGTACTCCCCTGAATTACAAACATCAATAACTTTTTGTAGGCTAACTTTTTCAGGTTATTTTACATTAAAGGATTTTTCCTACCACCACAGAATTTTTAACGAATTAAATTTGATTATTTACAATGAAATTTCAACAATACTTCTAAATTCTTATCAGTCTTATATTATAAATAGGTACAAAAAATACGATTCTGTACAGTTGACGAAACAGAACAACTTGTATGAAATCACAGTCGAAAGGCAACTTCTTTTGTTGAGAAGTGAATTATATTTCAAAACAGCTTGAGAAAGATGATTATTTACTCTAAGCCAAATCCTTCTGCATTTGATATGGCTATTGTTAATTTTTCTCTCAAAATATCTCTATTTTTATATCGTGGAAGGACCAATTGGTTGAAACATGTATGGGAAATTGGTAACCTAAATGAAAAAAAAAAATTGTATATGATAGTGTTTTCTAGGGAGCGCTGCAAGTTCTTGACTGCCTATACTTCCAAGTTATTGTTTTTTAACGTGTTTTGAAGCCATTTGGCTCACAATTTGATCATTGTATTTGGAGACTCTCTTGAGTAGTATTTCTTGTATACGTGTATTTGTTACTTGATTTATTATTTGTGGTTAAAAAAGAATTTTTATTTGAAGACGTGAGAATTGTTGTTAGAAAAAAGAATCATTATAAAACACTTACTTTGTTAACAATATACAGACTTCAAAATTTAAACCTAAATGATAATTTGTAAAATGAACTTAATCTCACTGCTCGAACAATATGCTGACACTAACATATGATGGTGCATGGCTTATACTAGGAATAAACAAGTAATAAGAGGTCTAATTAGAATTGTCAAAAAAGTGAGTTCTTTTTAAATTTAGCTACCATATCACCTTTTTAACAATACATCTCTAAATAATTAAAACAAATTTTCACTTCAAACTCACTAGAATTACTATAGATCATTAATATCTTATGAAATATAGCAGATTTTATGTAAGAAATTTCATTATTTATTTCTTAAACAAAATGATCTGTTTGAAAATATTGCATTGCAGAATGAGCTGTAGTAAGCAGCTGTATACTTTCTAACTGGAAGTGGAGCAGGTCAAGAGTTTGAAATTGTTGTTGTTTACATTTATATAGAAAACACCTTCTATATTATTATTTTTGATTTATAATAATAAAAAACACACTCATGTCCTGGTAATCAGTGTTCTACAATCAGTGAAGTTAAAATAATATGTATGGAAAGGACATTCGCAAACAACTCAAATGTTTTCAAAGCTGTAATGAAATATAAAATTACGAGAGTTGTTCTTTGTGAGGAAATTAAATTTAATTAAAGGCAAAGTTTTAAAATCTCAAATAGTAAAAATTTATTAAAAACCTATATGTGTTTCAATGTCACAATTGTACATCTTTATCAGTAACTTAATAGATATGGATGGTAGAAGATGATAGAGACGATTCAAATTTGACAGAAGTTACATCATACTTAAAGAAATAAATATATACAGTTAAAAGAGCCCAAAAAATTGATGACTTTAATTTGTAATATTATTTATCTTTTGGCTCTTTTAACTGTATATTTATCTCTTTTTGTATGACGTACCTCTGTCAAATTTTAAACATCTCTGTTTTTACCACTGTTCTTTTATGCTACTGATAAAAATGTACAATTGGGACATTAAAACACATACAGGGTCTTAATAAATTTTCAATGTATTTGAGAATTTTCAGTGTTTTTTATTGAAAATGTAATAAAAGAGTTTGTTATAATTTTAAAAAATTGGTTAAAGTTTGATTATTTTGAATATATAATAAATTCCAGATTTTTTAAAATATATTCTAGAAAGATATTGTTATGTAATGAAAACATTTGTAGCATTAGTGTAATGGTTTAAAAATATATTTAATGCTTCGATTATTATAATTTAGAAAAATTAGTGTAGTTTTTTAGAAATTCATTTGGGTCTTTTATTTTTTGTTAGGTTCGCACATAACATAATTTTTTTTTTGTTACTCTAAATTATCTCATAGACTGTCCAATTAAAAGAATACTCTGAGAGTAATAAAGCAAATTGTAATACGAACACATAACTCTAATTGATAGCAAAAAATAATTTTTTTGTCGAATGCATATATTTATATTTAAAAAGTTTTAGTACTAACTCTGAACTCTAAATTTGCCTAAGAGCAATTCATTGTCAGTAAGTAATTAATGTCATTTTAAAAAATCAAAAATATTTCGTATTTAAAATGATTTACTACCATCAATAGGCTTAGAATGCCTTCAGTTCATCAATTGAAAAGAAGAAGAAAATATTATTGGTTTCACAAAATCCCGTTTCAGGGTTCTTTTTGTCAAATGTAACGTTGCTGTTAAATTGATGGTAAAAACTTTGACTTAGGCTCTATATTAGAATTTCTTTTCTTATTCATGAATGGCAACAAAGTTACTTGATGAAGTCTAGAAGTTCCCTGAATAGAAGCAAATTCTACTTAAGGGAAATTTAGAATTTCTTATTGGGAGATCCTGAATTTAAAAGTTTGAACCTGTATCCTTTTCTGGAGCAGGAAATAAATCATGAAGTGTTTATTGTCGTTGCTATGAAGGTTCACATCTCCGAGGGTCTAATGAGAGCAGAGCTTTCTTTCGTGGCATTAACTTTGGTCGTCAGGAGTTCAAACCTAGAACTAACCTTTGCAGAAATAAAGATGGAGATATTTTAAGCGATAAAACCGACATTCTCAATAGATGGAATGAACACTTCGACAACCTACTTAATGTAGAGTGCGTTCAGACAGAGTCCTGTTCACCAAACGTTAACCAAGAGTGTATTGCACCTCTTTCAATGATTGAGGTTGAAGAAGCAGTTCAAAAACTTAAGAACAACAAGGCTCCTGGCCCAGATTTGATATCACCAGAATTCATCAAATTGGGAATTCACCAGATGGGTTAAAGGCCATACATAATATTCTAACATCAGTATGGGAAAAAGAGATACTCCCGGAAGAATGGAAACACAGCACTGTTTGTCTTATACACAAAAAAAGGAGACATTCTTGAATGTTCAAACTACCGGGGTATCAGCATGCTCTGCACTGCATATAAAGTCTTTTCAAAAATTCTATATCACAGACTTAGCCCCTATGTAGAAAACATCATTGGTGAATACCAGTGCGGTTTTAGGAAGGGCAGGTCTACAACTGACCAAATATTTTGCATAAGACAGATTCTGGAAAAGACCAGGGAATTTGGAATTGGTACCCACCACCTATTTGTAGATTTCAAAACTGCTTACGACAGTGTAAACCGGAAGCGACTCATTGAAGTTATGCGAGAATTCAATATCCCGGACAAGCTTGTACGACTCACACTGTGTAAGACCATGCAGAAAGTTAAAATCCAAAATGACTTCTCGGAACCAATGGAGGTAAAAAATGTTGTAAGGCAAGGCGATGCTTTGGCATGCCTACTCTTCAATTTGGCATTAGAAAAAATTATCAGAGATTCAGGAATCAATACCAGAGGACATATCTTTCATAAGTCTGTCCAAATTTTCGCTTTTGCCGATGACGTTGACATCATAGCGCGAACACAATCTGATTTAAAACAAGCTTTTCTATCCATGGAAAAAGAGGCAGAAAAAATGCATCTCACTATTAACCAGGAGAAAACCAAGTACATGCAATGCACCAAAATAACTGATTCTACAACTCACTTGCAAATTGGTGAATACAAGTTTGAAAAAGTAAACAGTTTTGTTTATCTTGGTTCTGAAGTCAACGTTAATGGCAATATCGCACCCGAAATACAAAGAAGAATCAATAGTGCAAGTAAATGTTTCTATGGATTAAAAAAATATTTAAAATCAAACCTACTAAAAAGAGATACTAAACTGTTAATTTATAAATGCTTAATCAGACCTATCCTAACATATGCCTCAGAAACTTGGACAACAACACAGAAAGATGAGAATTCCTTGGGAATCTTCGAACGTCGGATCCTAAGATCCATTTTTGGGGGCAAACAAGTTGATGGTACTTGGTACAGACGTTCAAACTCAGAACTCTATCGGGCCCTTAGAGAGCCTGATGTTGTCAAGTATGTAAAAATTCAAAGAATTAAATGGGCTGGTCACATCATTCGAATGAACAGAGAGCGTCCGACAAACATAATCTTTTCGGCTCAGCCCATCGGATCAAGGCCCAGAGGTCGACCAAAGCTGAGATGGGCCGACTGCGTGGAAAGAGACTTTTCAGTCTTAAAAGTCTCAAACTGGAAGNGGTCGACCAAAACTGAGATGGGCCGACTGCGTGGAAAGAGACATTTCAGTCTTAAACGTCTCAAACTGGAAGACAACTGCCAGGCAGAAGCAGGCCTGGAGGAAGTTGATTGAGAAGGCCAGGGCCCACCCGGGGCTGTCGTGCCATTGAGGAAGGATGAAGGTTAGTTCACATTGTTTGATTTGATAAAATCAACAAAATTTGTTACGTTTTAACTGGGTAAAAAATTAACAACTGAAAACACGAATAACAGATTTTGTTTTGTTCGTAATAAGACTTATTGAATAACTTCTCTATAGCATTTCAAATATTGTTAGACTGGTATAGCTGGATAAAAATAAATATACTTACATATCTGTATTGTGGTTCAAGGCTGATATTTTAAAAGCCATTTCTCCCATTCCTCCTACAGGTACTCTATCACTTCCTGTAGTGAATCTCAAGAATTGTTTTTGAAGATCAGGGCTGTAACTTTTTAAAATTTCCCAGAACTCTCTAAAAGAATTATACGAAGAAATTTTTACTAAATTGGGACACTGGGAAAAAATGCTCAGAAAAAAATAATCAAATAATTTCCAAGTGAATCACATTTTTTCCATTGACTTATTAACCGCTTCCCATACCAATTTTTTTGAAAAAAAGTGCTAAAAATCAACAGATTTTTAGTTCATTAATAAACACAAGGAATTAAAACAAAGCGTAATACACAAGTTTTAAGTAAAAATTTTATTTTTTTTTATGTTTAAAAAGCATTTAATTTATCACTATTCTTCTATCCCGAGTTATCTCAAGCAAATGAAAAAAAATTAAATATTAGCCTTTGTATGATAATTTTTAAAACAAGGGACATACGAAACCCCCCATGTAAATTCATCAACCATCGTATATACAATAGCATAAAACACGTGTGCACAATCCTAACTCCCAAACAAAGCTTGGCCAATTTCCAATCGCAGCAGATTATTATTTATTTATTTTTGCTTTCGGCTGAGTAAAAACAAAACGAATTTTCTCGGGATAATAAATATTTGCAATAATACATATCCGAGTTAACTCGGGTTAATCAGAGATCTTACATACAATGATCTCCATTTGAGTATTACATACTTAACCTGCTCTTGTGTTTGCTTATGAGCATAACATTTTTGTAATCATAGATTCAACCACATTCTGGCTAGCTAGAGTGATCGACTTGACAATATGCTTAATTTAACGAACCTTTTTAAAACCATTGTTATTGCTAGCATTCATCCCCTTCTCAAATTTTAAATTGCTGATATTGATGCGAAAAAAACAAATTTTAAATAATTGATTCTTAAGTTTAGTTATCTCAATACTAAATAATTCGAAAATTGTTCTGCTGTGTTTAGCTAGTTAAGTCACCCTTAGTTAGTTGAAAACCCATACTTAATTATTGGCTCTTCTTCATGAAAACCATCATAAACTGTCACTTTACGAAGTTCATCCATATCAAGTGTTGGACATCCACATACAAGCATTTCAACTTCTTCTGGTCTCAGCATCTAAAAATAAACAAAAAATGAAAAGTCTGACAACCAATTGGCTAATAACTTTTTTTTTAAAGAAATGTTATTTTAGAGTTAATTTTTTTTATTTAATTCTGCTATGTATTTACACTTACATTACATTATTATGCTTTTATTATTAATAAAGATTGTTTTTAAGTTGACGAGAATGTGTTCAGATTTTTTTAAATTTGTTTTTATATAAGTTATTAGATGATCTGATACATTAAAAATATAGATTCTTTAAAAATTTATAAATAACTATGTACGTATGAAAGTATATACGTAAATATTATTTTACCGAGTTATTCTTTTTTATATTTTGCTGAGTATTTACACTTGCATTGCATTATTATGCTTTTATTATTATTTAAGATTGTTTTTAAGTTGATGAGAATGTGTTCAGATTTTTTTTTAATTTGTTTTTATGCAAGTTATTAGATGATCTGAAACATTAAAAATATAGATTGTTTAAAAATTAATAAATAACTATGTATATATGATCTAACAGAATTGAGCTAAATTTAATTGAATGTTTAAAAAGTAATTAAAAACATTATTTTATTTACCATGTTTATCATTACCTCATTTACCATTTTAAAACGAGTTTCTTTTTTTTTTCTTCCCATTTTTCAACAGAATTTAAGTTTGTGCTGTGCAATTGGAAAGTAATATTAGTTTATATAAGAATATTTCAGTGCTACATTTTTTATCAATTAGCCAAATAAATATAATTTTTAATGAATAAGCAAAAAATCTTTTTGGTTTTCTTAGCATTTAAAAAGTTAATGTAAATAGTAACTTGAAAAATTTCATTATCTTTAAAAACCTAAATTTTGTGAATTTTATCTCTAAAGTCTTGACTGAATTTTTTTTAATCTTATGGATGAGGCGTTTTTTAATAATTAAAAGATCCCCCAATTGCTGTATTTTTTTATTTATTTTCAAATCATTATTTGTTGCTAAAATAATTTGTAATTCATATTCGCAATTAAAAGCGTCCAGTGTTTTTAATTTACACAAAAAACTTTTTTTATTCAAAACTCACTTAAAAAAGAACAGTCTACGTTGTTTAAAAGCAATTCCTCATGAGATTAGTAAGATGGGTGGTCAACCAGGAAGAAAAAATTTAGTATCCTTTAGAAAAACGGAAAATTTTATAAAATTCATCTCAGTTACCTGACAGTGGTTAATCTGACAAAATTTCCCTAAACACTGGAGACTGTTTCCATGTTCGATAATAAATATTCAAGATGTCCAGATCCCCCCCCCCCGAATAGGTATGTAATAGATTAAAATGCTAAATAGAAGGAAAAAAAATAGAAAATTAAAAATCTAGTATTCTGTTTTGGAAATTTTAATTTTTATAGCTTATTTCGAATTTCATAGAAGTGGGTAACCTTTATGCGTGTTTTGTATTTTTTACCATTTGTGTTATGCAATGTTGCAAATAAAAGGAAAGAAGAGTAAGAGCTGATGGTTCAAGATTATTAAAAAAGAGCGCTACTCAAAAGAACAAAGCGCTTTTATTGTTGAGCATTGTTTCCTTATAAAATTTTTTGGTCGTATAATTCCTCGCTATTCGAATTGGCCGCCCAAATCATGCGATTTAATACGATTGTGTGTTTTCCCTTCTCCCTCGGCTTATGTCAACTCGCTCACGGTCATCGACACCTTGAATGATGAAATGGTTGCATATCAACGAAACTCAGCCCCATCTATGCAAAATAATTTGAACATTTCAACAAAAGAATGCCCACGTGACAGTAAACACCTGGATCTAAGACTCACTTTCATGGTATGCTGTACTTGCATACTTTGTGAATCCATAAAAAATTTTGCATTTTAATTAGCGCATATGTATGTATGTATAGCATAATAAGTAAATACAAAAAGGACAACAAAAAACGAAGAAAATTAAGAAAAGCAATAAGTTTTATTTACTGCGCATAAGCTGCAAGTAAATAGAACTCATAGTATAAGTTCAAAATGTAGAGAAAATATGGGAAAAATTACAGAAAAATGAAAAAAGGGGGAAATAGAAAAATGACAATAAAAATAACTCAAAACCAGAAAAAAATAACCGGAAAAAAGGAAAAGAAAATATATAAAAATCCGGATTTTTATGAGTATTCAAGTTAAGATATATAAATCACAATCATATATTTCAGTTACTCTTGCGTTAAGTGAGATTTACAACTGAAAAATTAATGTTGAAATAAATAATAATCGTTAAAAANTTAAAAAAAATAAAACGTAACTTCAATAACTATATTTTGAATTCTCTTTTTCACAGTGAGAAAAATAAGACTACTACATGCAATTAATTCCACTTCAAACATATAAGTACAAACACTCACCTTATAATTTTTTCAACGAAACAAGGTGTTGCAGAGATAATAACAAATTCAAAAATTTTTTCAGAGAAATCTATTTGACCAGGTAATCCAAAATATTGCTAGATGACTTCCTATTGTTTGGCAGTAAGCTATTGTTACCAATCAATCTAAAGAAAAACTTTCAAATTCTTATTTTTAATGAATATATATGAAATGTTCCTTCACTGGGTAGTGTTCCTTCACTGGTTGGTTTACCCTACTTGGCTCTTCATTTGAAAAGTCACTTTGACACTTATTGGACAGCTATGTCTCTTTTATATATTTTTTTCTCACTCTCTAATTACGAGCAAAAATGTAAAAAAATATATATATACAATATATAATAATTACTAAATTGTACTTCTTAGATTATCTTAATTATATTTGTACTAAAATATAAGATAAAAAAAAAGTAGTTCAAAAAAAAAATTTTTTTTTGTCATTCATATACAAACATTTATTAATAATTGATTTTGTAAATTAAACAAATTGCAATTATTAATTACTATTTCTCTTAAATCTAAATAACTGCAAATACGAGCAAGTTTCAAAAATTATTGTTTGGAAGTGAGCCGTGTTTGTAAGATTTTACCTATGTAGCAGAAAAAGACACTGGTGCATTTCATAACCATAAATTACTAAAATTCTAAATATAAGACTTTTCAATTATTTTGATCTAAATTAATACAAATTAATGAAAAAAAGAACTGAAAATATGTTTAATAAAAATTCTGCGTCAAAGGACTAAGAGACGCTATACCGTGAGGGGGGGGGGAATTTCATGGCAAATTCTGCTTCATCTTCATTAGTAATTTAAAGCTTGATTAAAGTACGAAATTTCAAATGCTGAGAAAATATTTTCAAAAATCAAAATGCAAACAAATTATTTGTGTATAATTTCTGCATAATCCTAAGTAATCTGGTCATAATTTGTATGTTTACCTGTAATAATTTTTCTTTTAATTGTCAATGGATGAGAAATAGAATTTGCTATGAAAGATTTCCTCTTAGTAAAATCGAAAGAAAACAGAAATTTAAGCTTCTTCCTATTTTCTATTCTAGGAAACTACATATTCACCTTTCAAAGTTGAAAAATTTGTTACAGAGTTTGTCAATAGATGTCACGACTAACTAAAAAAACTGTAAAATAGTTTTTTTACTGCATGTTAGACTATTCAAACAAAAATATTTTCATGGGCAATACTATTTCTTAATATATAAAAACTTACTCTAATTATGGAGGCGGTGATCATTATTCCAAATTTTTAGTGGTAGTTCAGGTATCATCATTGAGTTTGGGCAGATACATCTTAATTTGAATGTAATATAATGATAATTATCTCAGAGAATTGAACAATATCGTTTAAGTCAAATTGATTTATTAAGTATTTAAAATGGTCATAATTTAAAATAAAGAAAAACCCCTAGAAACGATCAAGAAATCTCTTCATATTGAGAATTTTTGTTAAGATTCATATTCAACAGTTGGGACTGAAAGGCCCAAAAGGGCACCCCCAGTCTCCAAAAATTGGAAATTGAGAAGTGAATGAATTGTTCCCAACGGACAGTTAGGAGCACGGGAAGAGATGCAAGGTTGGCGAATTGTCGAAAGATAACATAATCAAAAATAAAGCCAACCCCTCAAAATCAATATTAGATTTGATATTACTTTGGCAATCGTCAGCAAGACTGTGGGAATTAGTATAACCATGTAACTGCGACATATTTGTGGTAAGAAGTAAAGATTTTTTTTTAAAATTAGTCGCGATATTGAATTAATGAGTCTTACATTAGTAATGAAATGGAAAGTAAGCTATTACATTGATCGATAAGAAAAGAATAAAATATTTTAAATTCGCTTTTTATAAATTTTAATAAAAATTAAATAATTGATTTAATTTAATTACAATTCGATTAAGAATGATAATAAGTTTAAGAAATAAAAGAAATTTTAAAAGCTAGGAAATATGTAACGTCAATTCACACCAATGCTGCACAATCTAGGCTCATAAAAATTCACAAAAACTGTGAGATTTGAATCATTTCCTTCTCGGTGAAAAAATGTTGACAAAATGTCGATTTACAAAAAAGTTTAATAACTTTTAAAATATTTAAGTATTTCGTCTGTTTTAAAGCCCAACGGCACAATTTTATGTAGAGTGTAAATTGATAGCTTTGCTTCAAGTATAAGGCACTTAAACAGAACCTGATTAAGGCAGGAGCATACTGGGCAGTTGCCCCGGGCCCTCACATCAAAGAAGGTCCCCAAATCGAATAGAAAGCTTATTTTACGTTTCCTTCTTTATTGAACTTTTTTTAAACAAAATATCAGTACAGTGTAAAATTTTTACGTTTTATGTTCGCTTCTTCATTAATCTATCGCATGAACCTAAAAAATCTATCTTTCATAAATCCATGGTCTTCTAGGGTGAAATTCAACTAAATTTTAGCAATGACGATGGACAAATTTGGCCAATTAAAAGCCTGTATTTTGATATATCACAAAATGTTATATGTTTACAAAAATACGGGCTTTTGATTGGTTTAAGTGAGCTATCGTGATTGCGAAAATATAGCTGAATTCCACCCTTATGTCAGCAAGGATATGAATTTTTCGCAGCTGAATGACAAAGTTAACAATCAGAAAACTGCATGATGGACATAGAATTGTCAGAAAATCAATGAAATGGACAGTTTCGTCTAACGATTGGAGGGAATATAGCTATTTTAGGTCAATTTTCTTGTTATGTATTTATAATGAGGGGGAAAATTTAAATACCTCCATGAAATTCAGTTCTTCAATACTGAAATAGTGAAGTAGAGGGGGCCTCAAAAAAAGTTTTTCGGACCCCAATTAGGCTAAGTCGGCACTTTAACTGTTGCTTTTTTTATTTTCTTTGGCGAAAGAGCTACGAGAAAGCAAGTTAAATTGTTCTACCGTCAAGTGCTAGACTTAACGCGCTAGCCTACCTAATAAAAAGGCAAACCATCCTTTTTGCAGAGGCTGTTTCCCAGGCAGTCGTAGCAAATAAAGCACGACTAAAAACTATTACCTGATCTGAAAGAGAACCTTTCCAAGATATAAAAAAAATAGTTTTAATAAACAAATAAATGAACTCACCGTGTCTGTTCTCATTTGTAACTGGAAGATTTTCCCCATCTGTTTTTAAAACATGCGTTTTTATCCCACCAAATTCTTCAACAGAAACCTAAAATAATAAAATAAAAAAATTTTTTTAATGGAAAGGGGAATAAAGAAAATAGTTCAAAATTTTTAAAACTCTGAATCTGTTACCTGAAAATTCATGCAAAAATCTTCTTCAACATTACCTTCATAAGTCAGAAGTTCCCGTAACCCTATAGCAACATCCTAGAAATTAGGTTTTTAATTAAACTTTATTTTAACTACGTTAAATTTGACATTAGTATAACATTAAATGATTTAATAAATTATTTATCATTTTGTAATTACAGGTTATTATTACCGGCATGACTTCTGCAAGATCATCAATTCCAAACTTCCAAACCCCAACATTGGCATGTGTGAGATTTTGCGGAACAACTGGTGGACTGAGAAGTTTTTTATAACAAGCTGTTGGAAAATGTAAGTCTAAAATAATCGAGTTATAAACAGCTAGTCCCATAAGCTAAGACAAAATTAAGGAAATACATAATTGTTGATCAGTTTGGATTTTATTATAGTTTTTGAGAGCTGGAAATTTTATTCAAAATTTTGTGTCCGATTTGTTTGATAAAATAGTTTAAAAATTGACTTTGTTAATCAGATTTTAAAGATAAGAATATGTCAATAAAATATGTAATTAAAAGATTACAATAAAATATCAACAAAATATCAAAATAAAGCATCAATAAACTATATAATCAGATTAGAATAAAATATCAATATAAAACATCAATAAAATATGTAATCAAAGGATTACAATAAAATATTAATAAAAAAATATCAATATAAAACATCAATAAAACATATAATAAAAGGTTTATAATAAAATATCAATATAAAGCATCTATAAAACATATAATCAAAGGGTTACAATCAATATAAAGCATCAATAAAATATATAATCAAAGGATTACAATAAAATATCAATATAAAACATCAATAAAATATATAATTAAAGCAATACACTAAACTATCAATAAAAATATCTATAAAATATCAATATTAAATATCAACAAAATATATAATCAAAGGATTATAATAAAATATCAATATAAAACATCAAGCAAATTTATAATTAAATGATTGCAATAAAATATCAATAAAAAATATCTATAAAATATCAATATAAAACATCAATAAATCAACAGATTACAATAAAATATCAATGTAAGACATCAATAAAATATATAATCAACAGATTACAATAAAATATAAATAAAAATATCAATAAAAATTATAAATAAAGTATGAATGCGAAACATGAATAAAATATATAATGAAAGGATACGACGCCGATAAGATTATATTCTCGAAGATTCCCTGATTGAGATGTACTGAACCAATAACATCTTGATTTATTATGATAAACGAACATACCTTTAAAAGTGAAATTATTTTAAATACAAAACACTGTTTTAGTAATACTTTTACGTAAAATGTATTTTTCTATTTACCATAGTCTGGATCAAAAATTTGTTTTATTAACAGTAGAAACCATTCCTTAGTTAGTCCTCCCATATCTAGGCCAGGTTCTCCGACGAATGTTACTTTTAATTTTTTCTTTAAATCTGTTTGTTTTCTTGCAATCTAAATACATTTATATATTAGACATTACAAAATACATATTTTTGAACATTTCTGTACATTAATTGAATAGAATAAATCCATTTTGAAACTATTGGCATTTTTTGAAATTATGTCTTTATTTTTTCTCACCAATTTGCTAAAATAAATATGCAGTGGCTTTTTTAGAGAACTATAAAATAATACAATTGAACAGTGAGAAAAAAAATATACATTCAATTATTTGTGATCTAAATAACTGAATCTATAAGTACAAAGACTCACTATTAATGGTTCAACTGCTTAACTTTAAGTGTGCTAATTGAATCTCAAGTACAAAGACTCACTATTAATGGTTCAACTGCTTAACTTTAAGTGTGCTAATTAATTAGAGGACATAATGTTTGAAGTTACGAAATCCGACACAAAAACGTACTTTCTCTAAATAAACTTATTTGAATCTTCGACTCTAAAAGAGGATCTAATATGGGCCCAATAGTTTAGGCCTTTTTATGTTTATTTCACGTTTTGCATATTTCACTATATCTCGAAAACTTATAAATCAAACCAAAAATGTTTGCTCAAAACTCTAAAATTCGCTGATGAAGATAATTCCTCGTAAAAAATAATTTCTAATAATAATTTATTATATTTCATTGTTTAATTTAATAATAGTCGAACAAAATTTAAATTATGGGATATACAAATTTTTATATAAGAGTTACAAATTCAACTCCGTCAACAAAAAAAAATTATGTTTATTTAGAGAAAATGCATTTTTGTGTCTGATTTCGTAATTTAAAATGTCGTCTGCTCTAATTAATGAGTATCTTATATTTGTTTAAACATGAATCAGCAAATGTTTTTAAAAACTAAATCCATACATAAACTGCTGTTTGTAGAAAATGCAACACCATGAAGGAATCATCAGAATCAAATGAAATTCGCAGCAAATGTCAATTATAGGATATTATGCAAATTAATAANACAGCAGTTTATATTAAATCTTGAATGCATTACCTCATTTAAAGAGTCTGAAACGAGATGGGATCTTCTAACATTAAGATTCAAGAAAAAAACATCAATATCTGGTGCTTGTTGGTGCATAGCTCGACTCATCAAACTCCTCTATTAAAATAATATAATATAATATAATATAATATAATATAATATAATGTAATGTAATGTAATGTAATGTAATGTAATGTAATGTAATATATAAATAATAATATAAAATGAAAATATTTCACTTGTATTTACATTTAATTATCAAGGGAATCAAAGACGGAATTTGCTGCAAACTTGATAATTAAATAAGTCGAAAATTATTATTGAGTAAATTTCTGCCAAACTAATAGAACTAAAATATATTTCTACTTCAAACTTTTCTAAGTTAGTAGAAAATTATAAAGATGTAAAGCAGTATGATTTCAGTACGGTTTTATTTGAAGAACAATTGTGAGATGACGGCTATTTAAAGAAAAATGGTATTATTTAAATTCTAGGAAGAAATATACTATTGAAAATATTACTGAAAGTTAAACTTTTACAGCATTTAGATTTGCTAGGAAAATTAAGTCGATAAATGACTTTTTTAATTTTTCGTTTATAAATTTAAATAAATAGTTAAAGTCAATCATGTGTGATGCACATTTGATTTCATCAAGTCAATGCGAAGTAATATTAATCGGCTTATGACCTTGATAAGTTTGCAGTTCGTTTTACTTATATTTACATGGTTATTTAAGGCATAAAAATTTAGCTAATAAAAATTTGTTTATAGCTACACTTACTAAAAATCATTCTGATGTTTTTTTTCCCTTTTCGTTAAAGGTTAGCAAATTTTTTCTTTTTATATATATTTTTTAAAAAGTATAGTGAACGATGTATGCTCGCTTTTTAGTTCTAGGTATAAAAAAAGTTGTTTTTAATAATAATAGTACATTACGTACATTTTTTTTGTCGTTTTTTAAAATCAAATTTAAGTCTATTTGAAAATTGAAGTAATATTACGAAAACAAACTCAACATTTTACTTTTGTCATGGAGCAAATCATTGCTTGTCGTATTTAAACCCTAGTTAATTACTTCGTATTGATTTGATTACATCATTAATCACACATGATTTACTTTAACTAAACTTGCTAATACTAGAGCCTAATTTTGTACGTGGGAGCTAACGCCTTCCAAATTGCACCAAAGGTGCTGGTGTAAAATACTCTTAGTGGTTGACGAATCAGGAGTTAGAGTCTTCTTGTCGCCAGGCTAACCGTGAGAGGTTCTCGTGATCTTCCTCTCCATGTAACGCAAATGCGCGTTAGTTCCATAAAAAAGTCTTCCCCGCAGGCAAATTTTTCCCAATACTTGATCCAGGAGCTCCCTTGTCTTCTTGATTGGGTTCAAAGTTACAAGGCTACGAAGTTGAACATTCGTAAACCGGAACATTGGGTCGGCTATTCAACGACGATTATAAAATAAAATAAAACATTTACGGAACATATTGTATATTAACAGGAGTTTATTTATATCTAGAGACTACTTTAGGATTCAATATCATGATGTTCTTTTTGATGTTCTAACATGATGTATTGTTTTAGAATTGAAATAATTGAATAAGTTGATCGTGTTTATACGTACCCTAGCATTAATTATCATTTGTTGTTCTGAATCTCTTTGCAAGATCATCTTTTTGGCAACTATACTGAGAATGAAAGGATATTGGCAATAGGAAAACCTAAAAACAATTCAATCGTAATTAAAAATATTTTTTAAACTATGTTATTATTCGATACGCTAATTTGACAAATTATGGATCATAATGAGAAATAATCACAAAGGTAACAAATCACAAAAAGTAATGAATTATTTTTAAATATTTAAAAAAATCAGTAGAATTTGACACATACGTCTAATGTCTTATACTGCTATACTTTTTACTGTTACCTTCGTAGAATATTTAACAAAAATATATAGAAAAAAAGTCTAGCCTGTAGAAAAAATGTATTTGTATCGTTCTTAATAATTAAGGCTTGTTGATGTTAAAATAAATTTCTAATCATAGGAGAAAAACTGAGGCTTATCATTGTTTCATAATAAGCACTTTTGTAATTAGAAAGTAAAAGAGGACAACTTTTTTTCAGTACATTGTCTATATAGTAACCAAATAATATTGTAATAGGAAAAAAAAACCTAACGACTAGAAAGAATAGCCTTTGAAACGTTATTTAAAAATAAAGCTGATGTTAAATAAATTTCTAATTTTAAGAGAAAAAATGGGGCATATCATTGTTTCGAAATATGTCCTTTAGTTATTGGGAAAGAAAACAGGACACCTTTTTTTCAGTACTGTGATTATGTGGTAGCAAAATAATACTTTGCCTTTTATTTAATATTTTTTGTAATCATCTGCGTGTGTATTAAATTTCGAAGTAATTTTTGATATTATTTTAGGATGGTAAAATTTTAAGTAAGTAATAAAATTCATTCTTAATTTTTTTTTTCTAAGTAAAAAGAAAAAAAACCCAATGAGTTATAAAGTTAATTCGGATGTGTTCCTTTTTTAAGAATTCAGAGCAGTTAATTCTCTTAATAAGGGGGAAAAGAACTGATGATAAAAACTATCCTCTTCTAGCGTACTATTAATTAGCCATAGTAGTCATGAATATTTTACTCCGTTCGAAAACAAACTAGATATGAAACAGTTTACTAGTCTAATAGTTTACAAACCATATATGAATAATTAAAAATATTATTAGTTTTTTTTTCTTTATTGTCCTGAGAAGTGAGAATTTTCAAAGATTATATGAAGCAATGCAAATAATTTTGATACAATATTAGTAAATCAATACAGTTTTTTTTCAATGTGATAAAGTATAAATTCTTATAGTATACATTTTTAAATTAAAGTTTAACAAAATTTTGCATATATACATTAAAATTAGAAGATATAGCCATAGTAAAGGCTGTAATAAAGAAAAAACAGACAAAAACTAAAAATAATAGAATAGAGTTATTAAAATTAATTTATTATTATGCTGAATTTTTTTATGATTTAAAATAGTTGCTACAATTTTAATACTGTATCATTGATTTTTTAATATTTATGTAAGCATTTTCTATGACTTTTTAATTAGCTATATTTTAACTTAATGTCTTAATTGTTAAATGTTATGTTAAATTTTTATTAACAGTTACTATTGTAATTAAACTGTTGAAAATTAAATTAAATATCTTAAAAATTCTAAATTGAGTTAAACCAATAAATAAAGATTATATTTTTTGGTGAAGTATGATGCACACTTTTTTAAATTTAAAGTAATCTCTTATTTTGCATTACAACCATTTGTAATTAAAATGAAGAGTTTGAATGATATTATTATTAACATTTTGTAATATGTTAAATACAACACTAATTAATCATTTATTTACGAATTTATATTAAAATAACGAAATAAAAAAGAAGTTTACTTGTGATTTTTTGTTGGATTTTGCCATCGATAGTACTCCGCCATTAAATTTATGTGGTCCAATGCACTATTATAAAACTCAGTGTAAGATATGAGATTGGGGTTATTTCGATTGTTAGCTGTATCTGCAATGATAATATGGTTCTAATATAGTCACAATTATAGCAATATAATTGTCTGAATCGACAATGTAATTTTAACAAAAATTGAAATGACAAATATCATGATGACAAATAAGAAATAATATTAATATAGTTTTAAGTAAGTATCAGAGATAGAAAAATATCATTATAATTCTTTAGATTAAGTAACGGTTTTTTTCACAGCTAACAGTTTGAATATAATCTTACTTATGATTATTTGACTATTTTGTTTGAATTTGGTGAAATAACAATTAAATAAATTTGTGATAGTGTGTGACTTACTTATAAGTGCTAACACTCTTGTAGCGCTTGGTATCCACCATCTACTTTTACTAATCGACGGAAGTTTATGTCCATTTGCGGGGGGGAATTCACGTATCGTTATGAATTGTAATATTCTTTTAACAAGTTGACGTAGTCTTTCTGACTCTGTTCTATAAAAAGGAAGGTTTTATTAGAAAATCAAAAGAATAGTGTCATATATATATATATATATATATATATGTATACAGAAAATAAATTGTATACAAATAACCAGTGCAAGGAGAAATTTAAGTACATCAAATTTTAAAGTATTTATTTTAAAATTTAATTTCATTTGTTCGTAACTATTATGTTTAACAATTAATAAAATTTTGGTAATTTTGACTAACTTTTTTTCTCGATATAGCAATAAGCTTGTAGTCAAAAATGCTGTAAAGTAATTTATTATCATTTTAAAATAATGTAAGACAACGCCTGCTTATTTTGTCATTTGATTTATAAAGAAATCCGCTAGGAAGTTAATAATGAAAAAATAAAAACAATATGTTTTTCAGTTCCAGTACTATTTCTCTTCCTAATTTTATACAGTCAAATCCCGCTATATTGAACCTTCAAGGGACCGAAATTTCGGTTCACTATAACCGGGAGTGCACTATATCCGTACTACAAACAATTTTTAAAAAAATTTCTGAACCTTTTATTACACATTATTTAAATAAATGACCCACAAAAAGAAATACAAAAATGATTAAAAATCAATATGTAGTAAGAAAAGATGTTTCATTTTTATTACTCTAATACATCTTGCGTACAAAAAATTTAGGGATGTCCTTTATTTTAGGATGGGAAGCTGAGATAGAAGAAGCAAACAAGAAAAAATGCTTATGGCTACAATCCACTCTATAGATGATTTTAAAAATCGGTAGGGGAGAGGGGGGCACATGTGAACAAATTTTTTTATTTCTTCATTTTTCGAAAAATATCATAAATATCTCGCAGTAAAGAAGTTCATATGTTTAAATAGTCTTTTCTTTATCTTATGGAATTTTTTGAGATTTTTCAATAAAATATTTCTTTACTTTATGATATTTTAAAAAAATGAATTCAATTGTTCACATGTGCCCCTGTTGGGGGCACATGTGAACATGCCTGGGGCACATATGAACAAGATTAAAAACACAAAGCAATCATCATATTTCAAGGAAACAAATCTTTAATATGACAGATATAGATACGTATTATAATGAAGGGGTTGTAGCTTACTATGTGGATTTAAACTGTACAACAGTACTGACAATAAGAAAATAATTTTTCAGCTGTACAATAATTTTTTCATTGTTGGGTTTTTCGCAACTTCATGTTCCTCAGGAGTTGTAATGGGCCTTTTTCTTTCCTCTCTGATACTCTTTCATGCTTTTTTTTCATTTTTCTATCTTTTCATCTGTAGTTTAGCAATTCTATCTTTCTCAGGTGTATCAGTTAATATGCGTGATGCGCGATCAACCATTTAATAAAAAAAAAAAAATTTTTTTTTTAAGGAAAAATTTATAAATTAATTATGGAAAATTAAATAATAATAATTTTAAATGCATACATATTTTTTAAACTTATAATATCATGAGGATAATAATCTTAATACTATGTAGGGGCACATGTGAACTGTTCACATCTGCCCCAGATGATTTGTTCACAAGTGCCCCATCATCCTTCTTAAACCTTACTTGAAAAATAAGGAATTTTTAATTGAGTAAAAAAAAAATTATTGTCATAAACTTACCTGAATGTTCATATAATAGTCTGCAATAGTTAATTTTAGTTTATTAGTTGATTTATACTATGCTTTCACTTGAAGAAGCTACTGATTATAATACATACAACACCAGTAGATACAAAGAAATTTTCAGAATAGAACAGCAAAATGTCTCATTGTTTTGAAAGTTTCGCAGAGAGGTAGGACTGCCATCAATTAAAAATTTTTCAAGATTTTTTATTTCAAATCATATTGGTAAAATATACCATGTTCACATGTGCCCCCTGTTCACAAGTGCCCCCCTTTCCCCTACATGTATTTTATGTAGAAATTTCAAAATTACCAAAAAATGAAGGAAAAAAAATCAGTCGAAGAGGGAAAAATTTCCTCTCTTCTTTTGGTTCACTATATCCGCAAAAAAAAATTTTATTTTACGTGTATAGTAAGGCACAGTAGCGGATATTTCGTTCACTATATCCGGGAGTTCACTATGAACCATGTTCACTATAGCGGGGTTTGACTGCACTTTAATAATTTCAAAATTGTTCTTACTTTGAAAACCAGTTGATTAATAATTGGTGATCGCCACTGCTAAGTCCGATGGTTCTTCGGAATAAATGAGCAAAAACAGTGTACGAAGACTGATTACTAAACAATGGATTCTGAAAAAAAAAATTGAATGAGGGCAGAAACAACAGGATGTTCTCTAAAGACCACCCTTAATATGTGTTTTTTAAAATTCTTATTAACCGCTTCCCTTACCAATTTTTTTGAAAAAAAATATACAAAGAATCGACACATATTTTTATTTCATTTATAAATACAAAGAACTAAAACGAAACGTAATACACAAGTTCTAATTTGTAATTTAAATTTTTTTTATGTGTAAAAAATATTTAATTTATCATCAGTTTACTATCCCAAATTATCTCGATCAAATGAAAAAAGTTAAATATGAGTCTTTGTATATGTTCACATCTTCATAGTTTGAAAAATCATCTACATTACTTTCGTCATTTTTTGACTCTTTTTTTCTATGTCAATTCATCAACCATCGTATATACAATTGTACAAAATACGTCTGCAGTACCACAAATAGCAAAACTCCCAAGTAAAAATTGGCAAACCTCCAATCACAGCACATTATTATTATTATTTTGTTTTACTCCTGACCGAATAAAAACGTGATAAAACAAAACGTATTGACGAATTCTGCTAAACCCGAGTTTACTCGGGATAATAAATATTTGCAATATATGCATACCCGAGTTATCTCGGGATAATTAGGGAAGCGGTTAAAAATGAAAACAAAAATGTATACTCATTGGGGGTCAAAGAAACAATAAAAACGCTTTCTAAGTCTGACAAATCACGCTAGAAGAAGGCGGGAGTAATTAACAGCAAGACAGGTATGATAGCGTGAGATAACAGAGAGAAATTGAAGGACGATTTTTTATTAAAAATGTTTTCAGCTGCCGATGAATTCTATTTGATGTTTATTACATTTGCTTCCTCTACTGCAATTTGTCAGATTTAGAAAGCATTTGTGTTTATTATTAGCTTAAACATTCATTTGCAGTTTTTGTTTCCATTTTTGATTCTAAAAATGCATATTAAGAGCGATCTTTATGTAACACCTTGCATACAAAATATATTAGAGCACATAATTTTTTTTAAAACCGTAAATATTGAAGGAAAAGAAATCAAGAGTAACATTTAGTTCTGAAGCAATGGATACATTTGTGGGGATGGTAGTTATTGACCATGTTAACTTTCATCTATGAAAAGGTACCCCAACAAAGAATCGTGTTGTCTTATTAGTGAATTGTAATTTTGTAGTGGTAGATACACTACATTTGGGGAGAGTGGGGTCAATTGTAACAGGGTACGATTGTAACAGAGCGAAAATTTCGAGTGTCGGGTTCTAGATTTGGTTCCTAGGTGGCGCACAAGATGTATTTAATAAATCTACATGTACACCCCTGCTGGCAACCATTTTTATGTACTTTTGAAAGAGTTACATCACAAAAGATATTTTCACGCTACGTAAGTACTTTTTTTGGTATTAGAATATTATATTGTAACAAAGTAATTTTGTTTAAACAAATAAAAATTATTAACCGAATATGTAAGTGGACACCTTAATTAACATTTCAATAAAAAAAAAGATTAGTTTTGCTAATTAACTAGCATTGTTTTTAACAAATGAAGCTGAAATGGCGTCTTGGGGACAATTGTAACAATAAGTAAAGGGACGATTGTAACAGCTGAAAATAAATAATCTTATGTTTACAAACCATTACTTAACTCTTTAAGAACCACCAATAGTTTCCTATATCATTTATATTATGTTGCATGTGCATTATTTTATTTGTCACCTTTCACAGCATAAATTAAAATTTTTAACCCCTTAAAGTTAAAAGTTTAACCCTTTAGGTCTCTGCTCATTATTATTTTTACTCCTAAAATATCACTACTATTTTGATCAATAAAAAAATATATCACAACTATGATAATATGTATAATTAACTATGTTTTAGTTGAATTTATGAACTGTTACAATTGACCCCGTAAGTGGGGACAATTGTAACAAGTGCACGACTGTCAAAAATTGTTAATAACTAATATAATAACATTTAAAATAAGGTATTTATTTTTTTTTCTAGTAGAGGATAGTCTACTTTACTCGTCTGTCAATTAATACTAATAATATATTGGATTTTTTGTTAGTTAAAAATAGTTAAGTAAAAAGTGTTACAATTGACACCACTCTCCCCTACTCTCCCACCAGAGCTATAACTGCGATAGAATTCGATGAACGGACACCACTAGTTGATTCACTGCTGTTTTGTGAGAAGCCGGGAGAGTTGTATTCAGACCACCTTTCTTTTAAGTGCTGATCGTGAGAGCTGCTTTAAGATAACGGTCGTGGTCGATCCTGTGTTGTCAATAGCAGTCGAGTGAGTACGTTGTGTGTGATCGAGTCTGAGTAGCAACAGCGTGAGGAGGGGGATAATGTAGCAGTCACAAGTAGCAACGCAACGGTTCAATGTGGATCATCCGTCGAGGTAAGATCTGATCGAAATGGGCTTTATTGTTAAGGTTGGCGTTTTCATATCGAGGTGGATGTTTTTGTTAAGGTAGGCATGTTCACATCACGTCCGGGTCACCAATGTGGGGATAGTAGTTATCGATCATGTCAACCTTCATTTATGAAAAGGTACCCCACATTGAAATTGATATATAACTGTGCACACTTTTTTTACTATATGACCAAAAATTTAAAAAAAAAATAATGCTAACGTGACAGTAAAATAATTTACTTGAAAGTGGTAAAATTATTTCAATTTTAATTATAATCTTGGTAACGGAATCACATTTTCTGGATACCTAACGAGATGTTTAAAGTCTATTTTATCTTAATATTATATTTTGAGATGTTTTTGCAAATTTGAGCCTTTATTTGAGTTTCTATTATTAATAATTTTAAAAAAACATTTAGAAGTTTTTTGCACGGAATTACAAGAGTACTTAATTTTTTAACTTATAATAATTTAGTAATTTAATAATTTAGACGATACAATAAAAAGACAATAAAGATAAAAAGCATGAAATTAATTAACGGAAGATGTTGGATAAAAACAACAATTATTTGCACAACATAACAGTAAAAGGACAAAACCGTTCCTTTAAACTTTGAATATTAATGGGAGAGAGAGAGGGGGAGAGAAAGAGGTTTCCTCGCGAAAAGCGATCAGTATAATTTTTTGTACACTTACGAAGTAATAATGATAACTTCGCTGCTTTAATAGGTGTAGTTAATATCTTAGTACTTTTCTTTAACTTCAGCAAATAGACGGATTTGCCAGTTTTCTGAAGTATTTCGGTGACGATTTGAAAAGTACGCGTATTTATTATTAAAAGAAGTACATGCATTTTTTTAAAAAAAAATTTTTAAATTCGGCCACTGAGATTTAGCTGTTTATGCCCTCTTAATTAATAAAAAGCTCCATAATTAGTAAATTTCTAAAAAGAGAAAAAAGTAAACATTGTATCTGAAAAGGAGACCCGAGAAATATCAAAAATATATTTTAAAATGTGTTCTTAATTTTAATACTAACTATTAAAATAAATCCAAACGATACTTACATGCAATAAGGCAAAAAGAGCTTTTGTTTCATCTTTGGCTTTTAACCTACAAAAAAGAATATTTTTTATGTAAGGTTAAATTGAGGGAATCGAGCGTAAGTGGATAATGGAGTATATAATTTTTAAATGTTTTTTATATTACATGCATTACATTAATTATATACATTACAATCATTGTAATTATTACAATTATTGTATTTAGAAGAAATCCGAATCCGACAAATTAATTTGCATACTTAAGATCATCCCCACGAACCATTCAAATTGACTCCTAGAAAGTGAAGATCCGATCATTAGATCAAAAGTTAGCTAGGGTGCTCCGTTTATTTATTGTTTTTTTTTCTTTGCTCACTGTACGTTAAAAATAAAATGAAGAACTTTCAATTGATCCCCTTGTTCCTATGATAGCATGGAAAACGTAGTAGTACAGACATATTTCCACGTTTAAAGTTGAATAAGGTTCTATTGTATGAATAATTTATAGATGCGCAAAAAATTAAAATTGAAAATTTAAGAATAAATCGTCAGGCATTATACTTATTGTATATTAAATAGGAGAAAAAAATCAATTTGGAAACAATTTGCATTACAAATACATTTAAATGAGATATTCAATTGAAACAAAATCAAATAGGAAGACGGCTGCATTTAATTCTATTTTAAAAATTTAAATATTGCATCCAATGTAAAAGTCTTAAACAATTTAAAAGTTAATTGAATGTACGTGAATTGATTCTATGTAAGAAAATATATTGAATTTATATCAAAGTGGAACTTATAATGAAAGAGAATTACTTTGTTACCTGATGTTTGTTGCCAGTACAGCTCCAATTGTTGCTTTTAGTGCAGCTTTACTGACAAAAGAAGGCTGAAATCAACAACAAAAATTCTATTTATTAAAGTAAATTATTTGTTTAAGATTTATATGTGTACACTGTTAGAAATTTCTCTGAAAGAATGGTTAAATAACAAGTTATTGAATGGTTATTTTACCATATTTAATCAAAACAGTCAGATAACCACAAATAAAATGGTAATCAACTGTTAAGTTAAAGAAAAACTGTTTATTAACTGCTTTCACCTAATACGGTTAAACAACCAGAATTTTATCGCACCAACTAGTACCACCTAATGAAGCTACTTAGTTCCTTGCAACTGCGTACATATCGTAGCCGAGCTGCCTTATCTCTCAATCTCATGACCGGCTGGCTGAACTGGAGTTCGAGTCCTAGTGTTGACACTACAATGTTTCCTCCATAAATCAACACATGAAGAATTTCCGGCAATCTCTATGTCCAGCACTCTCCAGTGTCCATTACCTTATGAAAGGCCGAGCTCCTATGTCTAGTTAAATGATTAATTTTTTTAAAACTTTTTTGAAAAATGCTAGTTGCAAATGGTTAAAAAACTGTCTAGTTTTGTATTTATGGTTTTATAACCATACTTTTTGTAAATGGTTTCAAAACCATAAAGGAAAAAATTGTTCTTTTCCGTAAACTTTACGGTTAATTGGATGGACAGACAGCTGCCAGTTATTTTACCATAATCTTAGAATGAAAATTTTAACAGTGTACAGGATCTTTAATAATCACTCGCCTTAATAATATGTTTTTAGAATCTTTGAAAAAAAAATGAAGTTATTATACTCTGAACTTATAAGGGCTAATTAATATCAACGTGAAAAATCTAATCAAATTCAACGGCATTAAATAAGGTTTAAAATCATTTAAACCACATTATTAGTCGAATGAAAATATGAAAGGCGATCTCAAATAATTTACTCAACAGAAGTTATTAATCTTCAAATCGATGAGTACCAGATTGTCTGGGAAGTAAATGCGGCCTATGCACAATGAGGATCACATTGCCCCAATCATGCCGTTGGTCACGAAATTGTAAAGCTTTAACCTCCAACACCAGTGCCCCACAACGAGCTATTGCGGGAATGCTTTACCTTTAGTGATTTTAAATGGCACCATGACTGACCTTGGTAATGATTCGTTGAATTTTGATGACATTATTATTTTTTCTTCCATTTTAATATTTCCTTGAACATGTTGTAGATGATCTGATGATCTTTTTTGTCAAGAGGCTTAAATATATACTTGATAATAAACCATTATTTTTTTTCTAAAGAAATTTAATTCCCTTACGTTGTAATACATCAATCACAATAGGCAAAAAATAACGTTTTATGTTACTAAATTGCGAAAAAAAATGCACACAAGATTGAATGATATAGTTGATAATAGAAAAATTATTTGTTTCAAAAATCATTTAGATGGAAAAGTCGAAGTTCTTTGAGCTCTTAAAAACAAAGAGAACTGGAGAAAAAATAAAATAAAGGTGAAAAATTAAACAAGAAAAAACCTGAAAGCTAAGAGAAGGTTACATTTTTTAGCGGCACTCCTCCATGCTCCGTGGAAATGCATCCTGCCTGGATTCGATTTTTTTTTTCATTAACAACTTTTTTTTTCTTAAAAAATCACTTTAGTTTTCTTCATTTACATTTTGTCTGTCTTGAAAATGATCACCATGATTTTGGGGACTCGAACAATGTTAAATTTTAATAGTAACTCCATCATTCCACCATTATTTCCATTATCAAATCTATCTTTCCGCCTCAATTTCTAGGAATTATGAATTTGAGAGTGAATGATATTCGAATCACGAAACGGACGCTATTGATTCATAAAAAGAAAAACATTTTGTAAGTATTTCCCAAAAAATCACATTTTCTAAAATCAAATAAATAATACCTAATAGTACATTTAAATTAGTTTCAAATACGCTATGCTAAGCTTTAGGAACTAAGCAACATTCTATTCTTTCTAATTTTTTTGTACTAATTATAAGATGTTTATAATTGTGGCGTTGCGGTCTGAAATGCGAAGTCTGAACTACGAATCTCTGACGTTGGACTACGTCGCTTGTAGCCGATAATTGACATAAACCTCATACCTGAATGGAGATATGCGTGAAGGGCGAAATCAGCAAAACGCGCACAGTATGTTTTGGATATAACTTGGCCGCCTCCCCACAGCTTGCTCTCTATGGATATGATGTTGCCCTAGCACACGAAATACACTCTCGATTTTTGGTGCTAAGCACCCCCTCTTTCCCCCATCTCCATTCCACCTCACTATTCCTCATCATCGATTTATTACTACAGATGAATCGGTTAATGCCGCTTCGCGGCAGCGCACCGAGATTTATATGATTTCTACCATTGTATTATTCTACAGATTGCTCTCTCTCCCCGTCGGTTCTAGCTAGCAGTCCGGCATGTTCTCGCCGGTTACCTTTTCGCAGTTTTTTTCTATGCTGCTTCAATGTTAAAGTGGTTAAGTTTTATATATGTTAGAATGTTTTAGTTAGTTTAGTTTTCCTAAATGTTAATAAAGATAGTAATTTATTTAAACTTAGTGTTATTTATGAAGAAACCTATAATCCGTTCTTGAGAACATTTTCATGTGGAAGGTTTTTCTAGAGTTATATTTCTTTTTAGAGTTTAAGTGGGGACTCTAACAAAGATACCAAACAACCCACATAATTATAAAACAATTTCGGCGATCTTTTAATGTGTGATGTGCGTTATTGTTGCTCACGTTAAAGTGTTAGTATATTAGATATTAGTTANTCCATTATCAAATATATCTTTCCGCCTCAATTTCTAGGAATTATGAATTTGAGAGTGAATGATATTCGAATCACGAAACGGACGCTATTGATTCATAAAAAGAAAAACATTTTGTAGGTATTTCCCCAAAAATCACATTTTCTAAAATCAAATAAATAATACCTGATAGTACATTTAAATTAGTTTCAAATACGCTATGCTAAGCTTCAGGAACTAAGCAACATTCTATTCATTTTAATTTTTTTGTACTAATTATAAGATGTATATAATTATAAAACAATTTCGGCGATCTTTTAATGTGTGATTGCTGTTGCTCACTTTAAAGAGTTAGTATATTAGTTAAGATGTTAAAAACATTTCTAATATAACATACCACTTCATTTAAACTATCATAGGTTTCAAACAGAAAGTCCATTTTTAGCTCCGGATCGTCTGCTTTGGCCCCTTCTGAATCTGGATTCACCTGAAATAAAAAGCAAAAACACGAAGAAAAAAAAATCCTTCTTAAAATTTAAATTAAAAATTTATAGATGAAAGTAATTGTGCTAGTTCAATTTCTTCCAAATATAACTGTTTATTATGAAGTACAAAAACTAACATAAAATTCGTTGAATTTAACTGTATAATTGTAAAGCGTGAATTTAAAGTCGCGCACATTCAAGTTTAGTGAACAACATTTTGATGGTTGCATAATGGCCGTGCGTTTTGAATGAAGTATTTTTTATTCAATGCGAAAAATCTAAAATAAAGTTTCTTCGTTCTTTTATCACAAGTCCGAGAAAATGACTTAGTCCAAGAAATGGCGAAATGGGACATCATTTCGAACAAATTACATTTAAAATTTGACAAGAACTGAACAATTTGAACAAGAACATTTAAAATTTGTCATCCGAAACTGGTAAAACCAACATGCTTGGGTCTTAGCAAAAGAGCGCATCATTTAGAAAATTTATTGCAATACTTAAAATTTGTTTTCCGAAGTACGGTAAAAATGAATATGATTTGGTATTTGTAAAAGAGGACATCATTTCAAAAGTTCGTTGCGACGCTTAAAATTCGTCCTCTGAAATCTGCTAAAACGAACATGCTTTGTATTTGTAAAAGAGGACATTATTTTGAACATTTACTGTAACACTTACAATTTGTCTTCCAAAATATGGTAAAATGAAATTGCTTTGGTATTTGCAAAAGAGAGCCTCATTTTGAACCTAACCTAAACATTGTGCGCTAAAATTAAACCAATATTTCAACTTTCTGAGATAGTTAACTTTAATTTAAACTCTCAAAATGGTGCTTTTACGAAAACCCATGCATCTTTAAACTTACTCCACAAAATTGTATCTTTTGTCTTCCTTTCTATGTTTGCCTAAATGTGTTATTGTTATATAGACATCGACTAGAGGACATATTGAAACTTTCTTTTAAATTGTGGACATCGCGGAATTTATTTAAAAATGATTTCATACGGAAGTCTGAGGATCATACATTCGGAAACTTTACATCTACATATGCATTGATAGAACATCTATTTTTTTTGATGATATTTACTGAACGTAAAAAAAAAATAACTCAGAGGAAAAAAGTATGGTCAAAACTACCAGATTGGGGTAAAATTTACTATACCTCTTGCTTTATGGAAACACTAAAAAGCTCGGTAATTTTCATCAAAGCGCTTTGGTAATGATTTTGGTAAAATTAGCTACAAAATATGGCTTTATAATGAGTGATAAAATTTGATAAATGCGTTAAAGTTTGGTAATTTTATCATCATGCTAAAGAAAGTTTGGCATAAAAGCCCCTTATTTGGTTAAATTTACTTTTCAGTTTTATATTTTTTACTAAATGTACGGTTATTAAGAACTGTAATGCTGAACTAGAAATTCCAGTGAGTAGAAAAATTAGGAAATGAATGGTTAAATACCGTATATTTTGGTTTTTATTACCAGAAATATTATTTTTATCAGCAATGTCATTGCCGTGCAGTACGGTTAGTACGGTAATTTTATCAGAGTTTTTTTTTTTCCGTGTAGACCAAACCTCAACTGTTTAGATATCGCCAATTTTACCTTTTATAACTATATTTTTAGAACACACAGAAAATATACCGATTTTATTTAATAAACTGGCCATCATACATTTTGAAATTGTCTATATAAGTCTAAAAATATTTTTAGAGTATCGTAAGAAAGAAAACTGTATAATTTGGGAAATTTGCAATGTTTTTAAAATTTTGTGGGTTTTTTTAACTGATTCAACTAAAACAAAAAGTTTTTAGTATTTTTTTTGTTGTTGATGAAATCGCTGTTAGAAAAGTGTATTTTCTGTCAAACAAACAACATACTCCGCGCAAATTCATTTAAACATTGTAAATGCTTTTAGGTTTTCGTTAAAATATTTAAATAATGATACTTTAAGCAGAAAACTTTTTCGATACTATACGGAGCAGGAGCTGTATTAAAAAATATGTTTTAAAAATATTAAAACTTGTGATATAGTTTTTTTCATGATTTGTCTACTGTTGAGAAAATTGAATACCACAATTTTAAAACCCTAAAAAATATGCATGTATATTGGTAAAATTTTACCCCATATGACAATGTTAGGAAAAAATCAGTTGTTAATGTGCAAATTAAAAATAATTTTCTTTAGTTACAGGTCGCTAGTTATCTCTATTTAAAAATCACTGTCCTTGATTTTTTTAGGACAGAACCTTCACGCTGCACCGACAGGCTGTATGGTGGTCAGTGATCATGTCTGTAAAGTTCCAGGTTCGAATCCCGCTTCAGACATGGATGAACTTTTTCTCACTCTATCTGTTCTTCTTATGTTGCTGGGGTGACGTTAATCCACCTACTAAAAATATGGTAACTATATGGTGCCCACCAAAAAGAGATCAACAGTAATGTTGCCAAATGTCGTGGGAACTGGGAATAAAAACTTGGACCACTGCATATTTTGTTTTCCTATTCGATCACTTCATCTTAATACGGGCCTATTTGTAAGTAGCCTAATTAATGAATAAAATGTTTTATAAATTTAGTATATCGATATTGCTCCAATCTAGGTACCAGTTCAAACTAGATAATTCTTTTATAAATTAACAAAAGTTAAAGCAAATTGAACTATAGTCCAAGTAAATAATTTTAAAAAATAAAATTTTTAATAATATAATTTATATAAAAAATAATTTTTTAAAATTTTTTTGGATGAATTTTAACTCCGTTAAAAAATAGACATTTATTTTATAACACATACAAAAATAAAGAAAATTTATTGCATTTAAAAACTGTATTGCATTTCAGACTCTGGATAAAATTAAAAGCATTTTCTGATAAATATTTCATTTCAATATTTTACGTTTTTAGAAATCTAGGGCAACAGGTTTGTTTATCCCAGAAACGATTGTTGAAAACTATAACTATGTCAGCTATATTTAGGAAAAACATAGTATAATTTAACTATTACAACGTAATAGTTTAAAGGAAATGAAATAGATTTTACGAATAAGAATAAATATTTCACCGAGTGTTGTTAGTTGAATTTTTTTTTGTTCCTGGAGACAATTTGTAATGAAAATCAATAATTATAAACAAACTATTATTTATCTGGTAACACGCGAAGCGGAAATTAGGGGCGTTTCAAGCGATGAATAAGTTATTGAACGCTTTCAATCAATAATTGACTTTTTGGTTAGTTACTATTGAAATATTCAAAATCAATAATCCCATATATCATATATGTGTGCTCCACTTTTAAAGTGCTATCCATTTTTAAATATGCTTCTATAGTTTGTCACATTAACCCATATAGGATTTATGTATGCTTTCGAGATAATTATTGTGTTAAAATTATCAATTTCTTCCAAAAATGTTAATGATATTTTAATATTAAGAAGTGCAATTTTTGAAAGCTAAGCAAATTAATTTTTCCTATTGAAATGATAAAACCTGAAACCTATTGAGAAATGCATGTTAGAAGGAAATAATTTGACAATTTTAAGAATGCAATGATGCATTACAGTAATTTATCTCCTGCTTTATTATTACAAATTATAAATAATATTGTTTGAAAGCTGCACAAATAATGAATTTTTTTAAAATTTAAATAGTCCTATTCGAAGTTCCGCTTAAAATGAATTTCATGTTATGAAGAAATATTTTAACTGTTTTAACAATGCAATAATGCATTATAGTAATTTCACCCGTTCTTTAATATTAAAAATTATAAATTATATTATTTGAAAACCAGACAAATAAATAACGTTATTCTATTGAGTTGATTCTACTTGAAGTTCTGCTTTGAATGAATTACATGTTAGGACAAATATTTTATTTATTTTAACAATCCAATAATGCATTATTGTAATTTCATCTGTTCCTTATATTAAAATAAATTATAATTAATATTATTTGAACGCTAGACAAATAACTAATGTTATTCTTTTTAGTTGCTTTAATTAATTTATTTATTTTTTGAAATTTTGCTTAGCATTAATTTCATGTTAGGAAGAAATATTTTAACAATGCAAGAATGCATTATAGTAATTTCACCTGAGCATTAAAAATAATAAGTAATATTACTTGTAAACTAGACTAATGTTATTTTAGTTAAATGATCTGATCTAAAGTGCAACTTAGTACACTGAGAAAAAAAGTATGGTCAAAACTACCAGAATATGGGCATTTTATCGGTTTTCTGGCTTCTATGGGAACATCAAAAAGCTAAGTAATTTTTACCGAAGCACTTTGGTAATGATTTTTCTAAAAAATATAATTTCATAATATGTAATAAAATTTGGTAATTTTTTCATGATACTTTAGACATAAAAACAATTTATTCGGCTAAATTTACTTTTCAGTTTTGTAATTATTTTTATTTTTGCTAATAAGAACTATAATTTTCAAAACCAAAATTTTTCATAAACCGTTATCATATGAATGGAAAAATTACCAAATTAAATACGGTATATAATGGTATTATGAATTAACTACGCTATTTTATGGTTTAAATACCGTATATTTTGATTTTATTAACTAGAATTATCACGCCGTTGTTTTTTATTATTTTTTTTCTTCAGAAATGTCATTATCATACATTATGGTAATTTCACCAGAATTTTGATACGGTAATTTTACCATAGGAACGAAAATTTACAAAATGAATGACTTAAATGCTTTGTTTTTCTGGAAATGTTATTACTATACAGTAACGGTTATTTTACTAAAATTTTTCTCCCCGTATCTGGATTACATGTTGGGAAAAAATATTTTAATTGTTTTAATAATGCACTAATACTTTATAGTCACGAGCTTGCTTAAATTTTAGTAATGATGCTATTAAATTGCTCAACTAATCTGCTCACTTTAAAAGTTGCGCAAATATCCAGAAGGGACCCAAAAGTTGTTTCATAAAATTCTTGAAGTCTTGAATAATCACCCGTCACTTTGGCCTCTTCTAAATCTTCCCTAGATAAAAAAAAAGGTTAGAAATAAATTCATAATAGAATCACAGTAAAATATAGCACATACTAAGATATTTTTAGACTAATGATTTTCTTAACACGCGTTCATATATAATATATGTTGGCTAGTGCAATCAACCCATATTACGGATGATCTCTCATTAACAAATAGAAGTGGATATGCAAATAAGGTGTTCTATAATTATCGCCTTTAATATACATTTTTAGAGTCAATGTCAGGAATGCATTTTGAAAAATATACATATCTGAAGTCATAGAGTAATATTTAGGCGAGAAAAGGAGAAGGGGAAAAAACGTTATCAAAACTGGACAAATAGAGATGGAAGAAAAAAGGAGTTATTAAAAGCATCAAAATCCCTTTGTTTATCAGAAGAAACAGAAATAAGGTGAAAGGGGATTATTAAAACGAACCCTGAGTTTCACCTTTTGATATTCTTAATCACACCTTTTTCAAGAATAAAGCAAAGTAAAGAGTTTCAACAACGGTCCTTTGTGGGCAAGGGGGATCATGGGGTTTAAGGCACCACTATTTCGTCACCAATAACATGAGTTGGGTAATATGGTCAATATTGGACTCGAACGGTAGCTGCTTACTTCTGGTATCCATTCGAGCGGGGAGAATAAATTACAACCTTTACTTTCCAACTTTTCATTAATTATTTACGTATTCAATTATTTAACTAGATTGAAATATAATTAAATTATGCACGTGAGCCGCGATGGATCAGGGGATAGAGCATTATCCTTCCAATGCGGCAAACCGGGATCAAATCCTAGTGGATACGAATTCCGCATCCGGCTTGCATCGACCACAGTGCTGACGTGAAATATTCTCAGTGGTAGACGGATCAGGGGTTAGAGTCCCCTTGTAGTCAGGCTAACCGTGGGAGGTTCTCGTGGTCTTCCACTCCATGTAACGCAAATGCGTGTTACCTCCATCAAAAAGTCCACGAAAGCAGATTTGTCCCAATACTTGGCCCAGGAGTTCCCTTGTCTTCTGGATTGGGTTCAAAATTACAAGGCTACGGAGTTGAACATTAGTAGTGGTAANTCTGAAAGAGAGTCGATGAAACTAATAGAAATCCTAAGGGGCTTATGCATTGAAAGTATACATAAATTTTAACTTAAATATACAAAGAAAAAAAATTCTGATAATAAAAAGTAGGGGAGAGTCGGATAGCCCCGCTCACTTAAGGAGTATTGCTTATATTTCTGTATAATACTGAGTAAAAATCAAAATTTTTGTATGTTTCTATTGTTTTATCATCTAATTAAATAATGCAAAAAGAATAAACAAAAAAAGAATAGTTTAACTTAAAAAAATAGAAATTTAAAAAATTTGACTACTGTATTCAGCATATTTTCAAAATTATTGTTTACCATGTTACCAGCAGCATAAATACTTGAAACTTTGAAAATAATCTATTTTTAATAAAACAATTAATGTCCGATGGCCATTGACTTGAAAAAATATTCTATACATATGGAATTGACAGTGGGCGGGGGTACCCGACCCTTCCCTATGTAAAATTATGTATGAAAATGAAGATTTTCTAACGCTCTAAAAATGGTGCATAACAATAAATGAAAAACTCGATCTTAAATTTAGAAGGAAATTGGCCTAGCAAGCTTCATAGAAGCAAGAAGCATAGTAGACCGCGCTGTAGGTTCAAAATATTATATATTCTTATGAAACCCTTGAGAGTTATAATGCATGCATTTAGTATTTGTTAAATAATAGATAAAATTCATGATTTAAATTTATATCCATAGATGGCGCTAGGTCAATGACACCTATCTCATATTTCATTATATTTTTATTCTTTTGTGCTGTCTGTAGTAAATAAACGTTGTGTTCGTTTCTCCGTAATCAGTTTATTTTTGGTTATTTAAGTATCTTAATAGTACAGTTTATCAGTACTGTTTTTTCAGATAGTAGATGATCATTAATACTAGACTTTTTTTTAAAAAATGTTCTAAGGCGGTACCCAATTCTCTCTAGTAATCGTTGTTTTAAGAATACACTAGAAACACTAAAAATAAACATGGAAAGAAAAGAAAGAAATAAAAAAAATAAGAGGAAAGAACTGAAAATTGTAAACACAATAAAAACTAATTACAAAATTCCTACAACGCTTTGTTGTTCCATTTTTCTACGAAAAATAGTAATACATCTAACACCCATATCTATTTATAAAGGGTGAAAGAATCATTCACACGGGAAATTCTATTTTTACCTCAAAAAGCTGAAACTATCGTTTATATTAATTGTTTTACTCTTTATTTCTGCCAGAAAGAAAATTCAATTTCCCTCCATATTTGAAAACAAAATGTTGGCAAGTACTCTGAGAAAAAAGTATGGTTAAAACTACCAGAATATGGTATTAAATCCATTTATTCGGTGGAATTTACTTTTTGGTGGAATACTTTTTTTTTTTAAATTTCAGTTTTGTATTATTTTTTTACTAAATGTGTGGTTATAAGAGCTATAATTTTGAAATTATGAATTTTCGGTAAACCATTTCTAAATGTTTAAATTCCGTAAATTTCGGTTTAGTTAACAAGATATCTATTTTTTTTTTCTTTTAAACCAGAAATACTATTACCATAGAGTGCGGTAGTTTTACTAACATTTTTTTTCTCCGCGTAGAAATGGATATTTCCGCGTTGTTACGTTTTATTTAGATTAAACAAACCTAATGAATCTAATAAATAAACCTAATTTTGACCTAATGATTAAGTACCAAAAGTCAAGTACCGCCAAAGAGGGATCAAGAGCTTAAGGCATGGGTCGCCAAACTTTTTTGATCATCGACCCCTATATAATTTTTCGAAATCTCCATCGACCCCCATAAAAGTAATTTTCTGTTATTTAAAATAAAACTCTATTAGATACTGTGCTTGTACATTTATTTTATGATTTTAAACATTTATTAAAGTAATAGTACATATTGTAACAATAGTTGTATGAAAAATATATTATTGTTAAAATTTAAATACCTTAATATTTATTAAATAAGTAATTATAAATAAGTAGAAATAATAAGTAAAGTAACTACAGATTTATTGCTTCTTAATCAATGAGATGGGTGTGCCTTGTGTTTTTTTTGTAAGGTTCACTATATTGGGTTCAAAATTGGTCAATTTTAATCTTAAATCCCCTAAAATCTCCACATTTAATTTATTTCTGTACTTAGTTAAGATTGAATTTACGTGACTGAAACCGGCTTCAACCATATAGGAACTTGGAAACGCTAGCAAAAATGGCTGAGCTATTTCGCAAAATTTTACATATTTTTGCATTTTTTTTATTTGTACAAAATTTGCTTATTGTTAAATTTTTAAAAAACGTCTTTTCCTCAAGATCCGATAATAATTCAGCAAGCTCATCTTGCTGGTTGATGACCACGTTTTCAATTTGAGCACAATAATCCAATAACGGATGTCAATGTTTTCCAAATCAACAAAGCGCAGTTTAAATTCGTCACTCAATTTTTGAAGATGACCTGTATATATTTCCAAGTCTTCTTCTTTTATTTCTAATTGTCACAGATTTGAAAAATATCCTAACGTAGCAATGAAGATCTAAATAAATTTAATTTTACTTGGAAGCCTAACGGTATTATTCGATAATTGTTACATCTTTTCCTTGCAGCTTTGTTTGAACATCATTAAATTTTCCAAATAAATCCGCTAAAAAAATACATGGTTCTTATTTATTTTCATGTTCTCATTTCCAAAAGTTTTTTCGCATAGAAGACACATAAGAATCGTTTCATTTGTCGGTCAACATATAAATCCAAATTTCAAATAATCCAATAAATAATACCGACATTTCTTTTTAGAAACTGCCATTTTTCAATTAGGGCTCTACAAATAAATTTTAAAAAAATTAGTATAATATATAGACTAAACAATGGCAAAACTATAGCAAACTTTGTACTTTTTTACGAAAATCGCAAAAAGTTTGAAGATATTATTATTTTGATTTGATGTGCGCAGTTTAATTTAATTTCCAGTTAGTAGTAAGCAGCAATAATGTTGTTGCATTGCTGTTTACTACTAACTGGAAATTAAATTAAACTTATTTCGTGCAAAATTGTTTTTGTTAAGAACAGTTAAAGACACACATCAGATTAAAATAATAATATTTTCAAAAATTTCGTACAAAATCACAGTGTGCTATAGTTTTGCCGCGGGCTGTACTAATCCATATAATTAATGCTTACCTTCTTTTTTACATGTATTGATACTTAAAATTGATATCTAAACTAAACGAATGGTGTTGTCGAAACAATAACTAATTATCCAAAACTATAAAAATTTTAATAATGACTCTGCAAATATTCAACACCGTTCACAGTTTGCAAAGATAGCTGAAACTGCGTATGATATTTGCGTTTGTAACGTCAATGCTCGTCACATGTGACATTTGGACAAGCGCACATATGCATATGACTTATAAACCAGAAGTGCAGAGTTCATGCCTGGCTGGTACGTAAATACTTGTTTTATCCGAATAAATATAAGTTTATTAATTTATGTTCTATAAACAAACTGATATAATGTCAATTATAAAAAAATTCACAAATTTTACATACTCGCTTAGGTATGTGTGATTTGCGTATTAAGAACTGCTTTTTCTTCGACCCCCAATCGACCCATCCGATTCGTATCGACCCCCTGGCTCAGATAGACCCCCGCTTATGTTAAATGGACCCCTGGGGGTCTATATAGACCACTTTGGCGACCACTGGCTTAAGGGATACTTAAGGGGCATATCTAAAAGATGTTAATTGATTATGGCTAACTATAGTTGAAGTTACAAAATCTGAAACAAAAAAGTAAACAGGATGTCTAAAAAATTCTTATACAGTAAATGCATATAACAATGAACATCAAAGTGTATGCATATAACAAAGATTCAGTTGTTTAGTAGAATTTTATGACAGATTATAAACTAATGCAAAATCGTTTACAATAATAAATATGCTTTTTTTTTTGTTCTGGAATAACTTTATAACGTTGAAAAGAATCGATTGTAGCAAAACATACCCCATGTCAAAAAAAAAGAAGAAATAAAAATTGAGCCGAGGATATCAAAACGAAAATTCAACAATAGTGTAGGAATTCTTTTTTTTTTTTCTTCTTTTTTTCAAAGAAGAAAAACTTTTTTGTTTTCATTTAAAGGGAAGTTAACATTTGTCCGGAAGAAATTTCTAGAAAGCTCTTTTGCCCAATCTGAAGATTATGCAGAGATATTATTAATGTAAGCAAATAATTTTCCTTCGCATATTGCAAATATTGCCCTACATTGTTGCAGAGACAGCCAAGCTCAATATCTGATGACTCTCATACAATGACCCAGTGTCTCATACAATGAAACTCGATTTTAATTTATTGGATTATATTGGCAGAAGAAACATGGTATAGAAAACCAATATTTCTTATTTCATAACCGTCGTTGAACAGCCAATCCAATTCTTTGGTTTACGACTACTAATGTTTAACTCCGTAGCCTTGTAATTTTGAACCCAATCCAGAAGACAAGGGAACTCCTGGACCAAGTATTGGGAGAAATCTGCCTTCGTGGAGGACTTTTGATGGAACTAACCCGCATTTGAGTTACATGGAGAGAGAAACTGCGAAAACCTCCCACGGTTAGCCTGACGGCACGAGGGCTCTAACCCACGCTCCGTCTACCCTTGAGGATATTTTACGTCAGCACGGTGGTAGGTGCAAGCCGGATGCGGAATTCGTATCGACCAGCCATCGCAGGGATTCGAACCGAACCCAGTGATGGCTTGTCGATACGAATCGAGCGTTCGCCATTGGAAGCGCTCGATTCGAGCGTTTGCCGCTGGTCGTACGTTCGCCATTGGAAGGCGAGCGCTCTCTTCCCTAAGCTATCATGACTCAGAAACCCAATATTTTATTTTGTAATTTTATAACCGTCGTTGAACAGCCGACCCAATTTTATGGGTTTACGACTTCTAATGTTGAACTCGGTAGCCCTGTAATTTTGAATCCAATCCAAAAGACAAGGGAATTCCTGGATCGAGTGTAGGGAGAAATTTGCTTTCGTGGAGGACTTCTTAATGGAGCTAACCCGCACTTGCGTTACAAAGAGAGAAAGACCAGGAGAACCTCCCACGGATCTCATTGGAAGGCGAACGCTCTATCCCCTGAGCCATCGCGGCTCAGAAACCCAATGTTGTAAAATAATGAAATTCGAGCCAATTTCGGAGCGTCATGGAGCTAGGAAGAGACGAAGCTTCTACAGATGCTGGGGTACTGCATGCACTAGTTTAGAAAAAAGCTAAAGCTTGTAGAAGGCAGAATCATGACTACCCACTTGGTTTAAAAAATTTCAAATAATATCTATTCTTATGCTGCAAAAAATATCCGAATACTTTTAACCACATTATGGTATTTTTTGTTTGGATATGTATAAGAACTAATTGAATACCTAGTATTTTCTCTGAATAAACAGATCTTGTTTAAAATAGGTTATAATGTTTAACCATCAGAATATTAGGTAAAATTACTTATTTACTTACTCGCATATTTACTTACACTTTTAAAAACACTTTTGTTGGCTTAAAATGCCACAAATGCATGGCACTTTTTTAATATCTAACAAAAAGAGTAACCGGTGATCTTGTAAAGATGATATAGATTAAGAAAATACATCAAGCTTTTAGCTATTCCATTAGCATTTCTTTTGTTGTAAATAAAATTCTAATTCCGTTCCGGACCGCATGTTGGTATTTTTTGCTTAAAAATATGTGAGAACTTATTGAACATCTTGTATTTTTTAAAAATACAAGATGTTCAATAAGTTCTGAATAATTCAATATTGTGTTTAAACTGGGTCATGATATTTTACCTTCAGGACATGAGGTAAAGCATTATTTAGTTTTTAAAAATACTTTTGTTGACTTAAACTATTTTAATGTTGAAAAGAAAATATGGATTAAGAAAATACATTGAGCTGCATAAACAAGGAATGCTCTAAAATATCACCTCAGTTGTCTAATTGTCATTTCTTTAGTAGGATACAAAATGAGATTGGTTTGTAAATCATCTAGTAAATTATTTTTTGCCACATTTGATGTGGCTGATCCAGCTAACAATGAGCTTCGTCCATCAGATGGAACATAAGCTTGCTGTCGAGCTTCACTTCTAAGAGTAACAAGTTGACCTTCACCTCCTTGACTGATAGGTGGTAGTGAGACATATACAGTGGAATCTGGTGAAGAAGGAGGTAGTAAAAGTCCAGTTATGTAAGTGTGAATAACTCCAAGAGTATCTGTTATTAAAGGACCAAAGCCAGTAACTTGAACAATTTGTCGACTTCCCGTTTCCTGAAAAGTAAGGAAGTATTTTATCATTTTTACTTAACACTAAACATACCAACACTTAATATATACCATAACTATTTCTACCATAGCCGGTCAAATAACCGGACTTTACGTTTCTTAATTGAATGTAGGAAATATGGATGTCAGGAAGGAAATAAACTTTGTTATAATTAAACAAAATTATATAATGCCAATTTTTGTGTATTACAAATACAAAGAATTAGAATTTTTTATTCATTGTTCAAAGCACTTTTTACATTTACAGTGTGTTTCCATTGTACATTTTCCTCAAAAATATTTTTTCTAATTATTATTATTTCAATAATTCTTATAATTATTCTCATAATTACAAGAATATATAAGAATTATAATTCTTATAAATATTCTTATAATTAATATTTCTTCTAAGAACTTGCCCTGTCTTGATTGTTTCGACATTTTTCGGGGTAAAAACTAATAATTAGTTAGATATGAAGTAAAGCTATCAAAATAAAATATAAGCTACTGAACAAAACATTTAGTTTTTGTCACTTTTTTTTTTACACAAAAATGCCAATCTGAAATTTTAGGTACTTTCTTGAAATTTGAATGCACAGTTATTCTGGTTGAGCTAACTACCCAACAGTCTTAGCAGAAATGTGCAATTAATCGCATGCAATACGTTGAACACGCATTACATCGTAATTTTTGATCCGATAACCTTATAAGGCAATAAATTTATCTCCCGGCCAAATGACCGGTAGTAGGAGAAATAGGCATACGACAAGCATTTTTCGAAACAAACAAAATACAAAAAAAGTAATGATAATGTAATATTAACTGTACATAATTGTTAGAAAAAGTCATAAAGTCAAATGTGCAAAAACGATAAGATGAGAAGTACATTTTCGATGCAAAAGTTCTTAAACGGTCATTCGATCGGCTATGGTATGTTTAGCGTTAAAAGATTTTCTTTCAAGTTTTCCTTCTGCCATTTTCAGTTATAATGACAATTGGTACTCAGGTGTTGACACCGGTTTTGTAAGTTACCGATTTAAATCAATTATGAAAACAGAAGAAAGTTCACGTAGTTGATTAGACTCATTTAGTTAAGTTTAAATAAAGGTTACAGCAATATTAGAATCCCAACTAAAGTTCTTATTATTGAAAAAATATATCAAATATTTTAAAGTTCCACAGAGGAGCCCTCAGTGGAACTTTAGCCCACGACAAAATCTTTAATTTTATGCTTTTCACTTTAAAACAGCACCTACCTACTAAACCCGAAATTTGAACAAAATGCACCAAATTGTTTCTGAATTATACATTTACAAAAAATTATATTTCTAAATTTTACTTGTTCGAGACTATTCAACCGATTTTGTAAAAACCTTGTATTCCGTCATTCCAAACTACTTAGTTTAAAACTTCTGAATAGTAAGTTAGCAATCATTGGCACTTCTAAAGTTTTTCAGTCATTAATAAATTAAATGATAAAATCTATTAAACTGCATTTAAAAATAAATTTGTACACTTTATTATTTTAAATTTGCGTCAAATTTTTTTTTTAATTCGCTTTAACAGATATGTCGAAATACGCAAAAAAGTGAAATTACCTTAAGATAGATCAAATTTTTAACTACTTACCAGGTTAAACTGTTGGAATATATTTCTTAAATAGCAGTTACCACCTAATTTTAAGGATTAAAAAACTAAATTCATCGAAAAAAAGTATGTTGATTCGGAGGAACTACCAAAACAACCAGAATATGGTTAAAATTTCAACGTTTCTGGCTATGGGAACACCAAAAAGCTCTGTAATTTTTACCGAAGCGCTTTTCTAATGATTTTGCAAAAATTTACAATAGAATATGGTTTTATGACATGCGATCAAATTTGGTAATTTCATCAAGTCACTTTAGAGCATCGTGTTACTTTAGGTTTAGAGCATGGCATAAAAACAATTTATTCTGTCAAATTTACTTTAAGGTTTTTTATTAAATGTGTGGTAAAATAAAAACTATGGTTTTGAAAAGCAGAATTTCTGGTTAATCGTTAACATATAAATGGAAAAAATTACCAAAATTAATAGTTTAAATACCGTATATTTTAATTTCATTAGCCGGAAAACTGTTGTTTTTCTTAATTTTTTTAATATTTTTTTTAAACATAAATGTCACTACCTTACAGTAAAGTTATTTTACCATAATTTTTTTCATTATATATATTTGCAGATATATAATTTAAAATAAAGGGAAAGTATTTTGACCTCTTTTATAGTATCGTACTAGATTAAGCGATAATTTAACTATCCAGATTATAAAATTTTTTTTTTACCATTTATATAAAACACTTATAAAAAGTTAAAAATAAATTCCAAACTTACTGTTACAAAAGGCATTTGTTAAGAAGACGAACAAATGGAAGATTTATGTTGCAATTATATCTTCCTTCCGTTCTTTTGAAGAAAAAAACATTCTGATTATGGAGCTTATTTTTTTCTTAGAAACGGACTTGTTTGTTCGTTCCTGGCTCCTCGGGAGTGGAAGTTTTATGTTAGGTCATATGATTTGTTTACGGCTCTGGTATAAATTCCAAAGGGGCCTAGACTTTTGAGCTTAATAGAATGAGGGAAAAATGGGGTAGAAATTCCTAATGCTTTTAACGGTTCCTTTGAAACATTTTTTTATAACTAATGGTCATAGGATTTGATAATCGAAAGTTTTTTCCTATATTGCAGCCTGAGTAATAAACTGGATAGTCTACAAACTTATATCTTATCAGATACTAAATATCTCTAAAAAAATGAAGGATAATAAAATTGTTCACATTTCCCAGAGAAAGGGTGTTTTTGCAGAGATAATCATTGATGAAGATCACTGAGTAAAATTTATTTTGCTGAATATTATATAATTTATTTTTAATGGCACATTAAGTCGCTAAACAATTGTTTTAGTACAATAAAAGTTATCCTGAAATATTATTTTTAAATTATTTTTTATTTATTCATTAATTTTTTTAAATTTTTTTTTATGGAAAATGCAATTTTAAAAAGGCCTTTAACGATTATCGATACATAAAAATTATAGTTCATTTTCAGATTGAAATTAAAATTCATCAAGATAGTTTTATTCAAAGAGAGAGAAATAAAATTGAAAACTAGTATGTGCGGGCAAATATAAAATACCATAAACAAATAAACACATTTTAATTCATATATTTATTTTATAGGAAGAAAATGCAGTTTTGGAATAACCTAATTCGTAAAGCACAATTGATACCGAAAATTTGTATTTTATTTATTTCTAACGATGTAAAAATGTCATTTTTTCTCCAACTAGCTTTTCTACAACTAGCATTAACTTTTGATGTTTCTGAATTGCCCAAAAGACATTCCTAAAGAAGAGAGAATAAATTGGTGACGCAATAAATTGGTGACACTTCTGTAGTTCAGAAATTTACGTTACCAGAAAAACGTAGTTACGGAATAACCTCATCTGTAAAGCATATACGGTATCAAAAACTTTTTATATATATTTCCTAAAACGTAAAAACATCCTTTTTACGCATCTGAATTGTCTAAAAAACATTGCAAATAGTTTTAAATGCCATGAAAGATAATTTATTTCAGTAAAGCAGACTAAACTAAAAAATGAAAAATTCAAGAATGGGCTTTAATTTTTTTAACGATATTCTAATATTACTTTATCAGAAACACTATTGGCACTATTTATACCTGCTCATAATATGGAATCAACAACAAAAGTAGGAAATAATTATATGAATTTTGTGTTTTGCACGGATTTTTCAGTTTCAAATGCCTGAATAAATCTTTCTTCAGATACAGTTATTTAATTTTAGGGCTATAAACATGACTTTTCAGATTACTTTTTCTTTACTGAACTGTGAACAAAGTGAAGCAAGACAATACGGATACTACGTATTATTTTTCAGTCATTTTTGTATTTCATTTTATTGGTTATTTTTTTAATAATGTGTAATAAAAGGGGGGGGGAGTTTTGAAAGATTAATTAAAATTGTTTGTGAACGGATATAGTGAAGTTCCGGTTATAGTGAAGCAAAATTTCGGTCCCTTGAAGGTCCACTATAGCGGGGTTTGACTGTATTATAAAAAATAAATATATTTATTTTAACACAATACTTATGTCTTAAAAAATAAAATAAATATTTTTTAAAGCATTGTGTTCAAACTTTACATAAATGATACTATTCTTTTCCAATTTTTTTGTTCTTTTGCTTTAATAATATATATTTTTTAAAATTTTTTTGTTAGTTTTTATTTCTATGACAACATTTAAAATACATCTTTTACTGTACAAAAGGAATTCCGTTTTCTGTGTGAATGAAAATTAAAGGCAAAAATATTTTATTCGTTGCTAGCACTCAAAGTTTTTGAAGCATTTTAATCAAACAGATTGAGGAAAAAATGCTAATTTTCAAAAGCTTTACAAAATAAAAACCAGATATATAATTTATTAAAAAACATAATACAAATATCCTTTATTTTTTCAAAACGTTTTTGTCATTTTAATTCAATGAATCTTAATTTCCTAAAATCTTTTAGTTACTTTCTGCCTCTATGGTAACGCATAGAACTGAAAAACTTTTTTTTTTTTTTGTAAAAAAAACTGTCGTTTTTTTGTAAACAAAGCCTAACAAAAGAGTCGTCTTTTTTTTAATAAATTTTTATCAACATTTTAACTGATCGATATCTAGTTAGTTGATTACATATTTGGTGTCGACCGCTCCTGATCGGAAAAGTAAAAACATATTTCTGAATCAGGGTTTACAAATTATATATATTGAGAATAATAGAGTGTTTGTCTGTTTTTTTTATCACTAATGTGTCAAAATAATCAATAATGTGTCACTGGTTGCGAGGAATATATGATTAATAGTTTCATTCTGAGAACTGATTTAATATTTAGTGAAATTGCATTTTCACTAGAAATAGGTAGTCTATAAAAGGAATAAAAGAAAAAGAACAATCATAGTATTAATAA